GCTCCAGCTGGAGAAGAGGATCTCCTAATAAACCCCTTTTCTAGTGATTCCTTAATATACTCCTCCATGACACGGTTTTCTTGAACCGATAAGGGGTACACCCTGCCCTTTGGAGGTATAGTGCCAGGCAACAAGTCAATAGCGCAATCATAGGGTCTGTGAGGCGGTAATTTCTCAGCCTCCCTTTTATCGAAAACAGTCTTTAGAGATAAATACTGAGGGGGTATAACCGTAGACAAAGGAGGACTGGTAGGTACCTCAATAGAATTCAAAGGTGTGACTTCCAAACGTACAAGACTCGTGGCAGGCCTCACTCCATGATTTTATTTGCCCTGTCTCCCAGTCAAAAATGGGATTGTGAGCACGTAACCATGGATACCCTAATACTAACTGTGAAGAGGGAGAGGTGATGACCTGGAATCGAATGGTTTCATAGTGTAAAACCCCTGTGTACATGTGTAATGGTACAGTCTCATGAGTAACAACTGGAGAACTTAATGGTCTACCATCTATGGCCTCAACGGCCAAGGGTATCTCCTTCTCTCTGATGGGAATGTTGTTTCTCTTTACAAAGCCAGAGTCTATAAAATTTTCAGCTGCCCCAGAGTCAACCAGAGCATATATGTTGTCAACTATACAAATCTCTCCCATATATAAAGAAACCGGGAGAAGCAAGCGGTTAGGAGGCAATTTAGGAGACTTAGATATCACACCCAAGGCCAGTCCCCTATAAGGTCTTAGGTGCGAGAGTTTTCCGGGAGTAAAGGACATTCCTTTACCATATGGTCTCTCCTACCACAGTATAGACAGAGTCCCTCCCTTCTCCTATGTAATTTCTCAGTATCAGAGAGTTTGGCAACCCCTAATTGCATAGGTTCCTCCTCAGACACTTTAACACTCTCTGGTATATTAACTCTGGGGTTAATGGGTGTAACAAAACGTCTATTCCTGTTCTTGGTATACAGGGAGTGCAGAATTATTAGGCAAGTTGTATTTTTGAGGATTAATTTTATTATTGAACAACAACCATGTTCTCAATGAACCCAAAAAACTAATTAATATCAAGGCTGAATATTTTTGGAAGTAGTTTTTAGTTTGTTTTTAGTTATAGCTATGTTAGGGGGATATCTGTGTGTGCAGGTGACTATTACTGTGCATAATTATTAGGCAACTTAACAAAAAACAAATATATACCCATTTCAATTATTTATTATTACCAGTGAAACCAATATAACATCTCAACATTCACAAATATACATTTCTGACATTCAAAAACAAAACAAAAACAAATCAGTGACCAATATAGCCACCTTTCTTTGCAAGGACACTCAAAAGCCTGCCATCCATGGATTCTGTCAGTGTTTTGATCTGTTCACCATCAACATTGCGTGCAGCAGCAACCACAGCCTCCCAGACACCGTTCAGAGAGGTGTACTGTTTTCCCTCCTTGTAAATCTCACATTTGATGATGGACCACAGGTTCTCAATGGGGTTCAGATCAGGTGAACAAGGAGGCCATGTCATTAGATTTTCTTCTTTTATACCCTTTCTTGCCAGCCACGCTGTGGAGTACTTGGACGCGTGTGATGGAGCATTGTCCTGCATGAAAATCATGTTTTTCTTGAAGGATGCAGACTTCTTCCTGTACCACTGCTTGAAGAAGGTGTCTTCCAGGAACTGGCAGTAGGACTGGGAGTTGAGCTTGACTCCATCCTCAACCCGAAAAGGCCCCACAAGCTCATCTTTGATGATACCAGCCCAAACCAGTACTCCACCTCCACCTTGCTGGCGTCTGAGTCGGACTGGAGCTCTCTGCCCTTTACCAATCCAGCCACGGGCCCATCCATCTGGCCCATCAAGACTCACTCTCATTTCATCAGTCCATAAAACCTTAGAAAAATCAGTCTTGAGATATTTCTTGGCCCAGTCTTGACGTTTCAGCTTGTGTGTCTTGTTCAGTGGTGGTCGTCTTTCAGCCTTTCTTACCTTGGCCATGTCTCTGAGTATTGCACACCTTGTGCTTTTGGGCACTCCAGTGATGTTGCAGCTCTGAAATATGGCCAAACTGGTGGCAAGTGGCATCGTGGCAGCTGCACGCTTGACTTTTCTCAGTTCATGGGCAGTTATTTTGCGCCTTGGTTTTTCCACACGCTTCTTGCGACCCTGTTGACTATTTTGAATGAAACGCTTGATTGTTCGATGATCACGCTTCAGAAGCTTTGCAATTTTAAGAGTGCTGCATCCCTCTGCAAGATATCTCATTATTTTTGACTTTTCTGAGCCTGTCAAGTCCTTCTTTTGACCCATTTTGCCAAAGGGAAGGAAGTTGCCTAATAATTATGCACACCTGATATAGGGTGTTGATGTCATTAGACCACACCCCTTCTCATTACAGAGATGCACATCACCTAATATGCTTAATTGGTAGTAGGCTTTCGAGCCTATACAGCTTGGAGTAAGACAACATGCATAAAGAGGATGATGTGGTCAAAATACTCATTTGCCTAATAATTCTGCACTCCCTGTAGAGCCTGTCACGAATTCTATTATCTATATCAATGAGGTAATCGATAAGGTCCTCTAAGGCAATAGGAAGCTCCTTAGCTGCTACCTCATCCAATATCGTATCTGACAAACCTTCCATAAAGGCAGTAGTTAACCCATTGTTGGTCCAATCTACCTGCGAAGCAAGAGTGCGAAACTGAATAGCATAATCAGCCACAGACCTAGAACCCTGTTTAATTCTCATTAATGCTCTCGCGGCATTCTTTGACCTTTTCATTGTGTCAAAAGTTCTACGAAAAGCCGTAAGAAAACTGTTGAAATCATGTACCATAGGTCCATTAGCTTCCCAAATAGGATTTGCCCACTCAAGTGCCTTATCGGTAAGTTGGTGCATAAAGAACCCAACCTTAGACCTCTCTGTGGGAAATGAACGTGGATACATTTCGAAGTGAAATTCAATTTGATTAATAAACCCTCTGCAAGTCTTAGAGTCCCCTCCATACCTAGGAGGAGGTGTTAAATGGGCCGAAGTATTAGGCAAAGTAGATACTTCAGGGAGAAGGGGCGTAGGAGGGTTAGGTGTGGTTGCTGGAACGGTTCTAGCTAGGAGCGTCTGGAGAGCCTGAGCTATCTGATCCATACGGTGATCCTGCTCTACAAATCTTGCCTCATGGGACGCCATCTGTTGAGCTAAATCTGCGGGGTCCATGGCCCTATCGTAATGTAACGAGAATATACCCCTACACGCAGGATCCAGCTAAACAGAGGCAAATACAGAGGAGAGATACGTCTACCGGACCTTAGAATGGCCGGACTCGACGTATATGAGAGGAGACAGAGCCAGGAACAAACCGAGGTCAAGGGCACAGAGAGACAGCGTAAACTAGGACAAGCCGGGGTCTGGTACACGGAAAACAGCAAGCCGGCAAACAGTACAGATAAGGATAAAGCGAAAACGAAGTCAGAATACGAAGCCAAAGTCAATACGAGAAAACACAACTGAACACCACAAGCGCTAAAGGGAACTGAAACAGAAACCACGATAGGGCAACGAGCTAAGGGAAAAAGGGAAGTTTAAATAGCTTTTAAACGAAAGTGATTGGCTCCTGTCACTTCCACACCCCCTATAGGTAATTGTACAGGGAGTGTGGTATGACAGGAGCCAATGGGAGCCTTTTGGCAATTAGGCTCCCACTGTCTCTTTAAGAGCGCGCCCGAGACTCGCGGCGCGCTCTTAGTTTCAGGCGGGACACGTGACCGCTTCACGCGGTCACTGCCCGCCTTCCATCCAAAGCAGTCGGATGAGCCGCGCGCGGCTCATGAAGCCGCAGGACCGCGCGCGGCTTGAAGAGAGGACCGCGACCGGCCCCCGGTTAAGGTAAGTAACGCCACACACGCCCCTTGTATGTTTCTTATCTCACCTCTTTGTATGTCTCTTACATCCTCCCAACCCCTTTGCGTGTCTTACTCCCCCCACTCCCTTTGTGTCTTTTACTCTTCCCAGTTCCTTTGTGTGTGTCTCTTTCATCCTCAGGCCCTTCTGTGTGTCTTTCTCCTCCCCGGCCCCTCTGTGTGCCTCTTTCTCCCCTACCAACCCTTTGGCGCTTTTTTTTCACCCCTTCCTCAGCTTCTCTGTGTGTCTCTTCCACTCCCCCATCCCTAATGATCTCCTTCCCTCCCCTGCTTGTCCCTTAGTGGTCTCCTCTTTCCCCCTGTCCCTTAGAGCTCCCCCCATCCCTTAGTGGTCTCTCCTCTCCCCCTCTGTCCCTTAGTGCTCTCCCCCAGTGTTCTCTCCTCCCCTTTTTCTTAGTGGTCTCTCCTCCTCCCTCCCTCTCCTTTAGTGGTCCTCTCCCCTCCCTTCCCTGTCCCTTAATGCCCCTCCAACCTTAGTGTTCATCTCCCCTCTCTTCCCTGTCACTTAGTGTTCCTTTCCCCCAACCCCATTAGTGGTTCTTTCCCTTCCGTTCCCTGTCTGTTAGTGTTACTCTCCCCCCTCTTCCCTATCCCTCTGTGTTTCTTTATTCCCTCTCTGTCCCTTATTGTTCCTCTCCCCTCCCTTCCATGACACTTAGTGTTCCTTTCCCCTCCTTTCCTTGTCCCTCAGTGTTCCTCTCCTCTCCCGGTCCCTTAGTGTTCCTCTGCCGTCTGGGCTGGTTCCTCTATGGCAGGGAAAGTTAACATTCATTTTTCCTTATTTGGGCAGGATTCGTTCACTTTATAACTGCAATGCATGTGTTTAGGAATCACCCTGGGCAAATAAGATTCAATGTTTCCAATTATATTTTAGTTGCATACATTGTTATTAGTAAGGCATGTAAAAATTCATCAGAACAGCCCTGCACAAGTTGAGTGCTGACATTTTGAGTGGCTGCATCTTCAATGTGCCATAAATGTGTTCATTATTTGCTTTACGTAAGAGCATTGTTTTTACTATACTCTAACAAATGTCCACGGCACTATTTATATTAGACTAAAAAAAAAAAAAAAAAAACAGCCGCCATTTTGTAGGCTACACTGCAGTCCCAATTATCGTCTTCTCTGGTGTTTAGCACTCGGCTACAACGTAAACTACGTACGTGGTGCGGAAGTTTGCTCTTATCACGTGGTGGCACCGATTGAAAGATGGAGGCAGCTCTGGAGCAGCACCTAGAGGACACGTGAGTGTGTTAAAAGCGGGATACAGCGTTATTAGCGACCTGCTTAGCCCTAGCCACCCTAACGTGGAGACTATTAGCACAATGACATTGCTTTACATTCATGCAGGCAGTGACTGAGTGCAATTAGAGCTCTTAAAACAGGTGTGTTACTGTGTGAGGCTCGGATCTGGTTAGTTATTGACATACAGAAAGCAGCATAGTACATCCAATCACTGCCTGCTCACCGTGTGCACAGTGTATATCACTTACCTGGTAGCTATCAGTGGAGCTATTGCAGGTCTGTTGCAGATAGTCCCCCACCCCCTCTATTCTCAGGTCAGCTGATTGCTGCTGCTAAACTGATCAGCTGACATGAGCCATGCAGACAAACTTCCCTTGTTCATTTCAGTGCAGACACACACACAGACATATTCACTTAACACCTTAAGGACGGAGCCAAATGTACACATTGTGAACGAAACAAAATGTAAACAAAACCTGGCATTTGCGCTACATGTCTGTCCAACCGTAATTCACCTCTTTCATAGTAAATGCACCCCCCCCTATTATATATCATTTTATTCAGGGGAAACAGGGCTTTCATTTAATATCAAATATTTAGCTATGAAACTTAATTTAATCTAAAAAAAATGGGAGAAAATATATATATTTTTTTTTTTGTTCTAAATGACATTTTAACTGTCAATGTCATAACACTGTTTGCTTTTACTGCAATAAAATACACATTTTTATTCAGCAAAGCCTCACGTGTAAAACAATACGCCCTATGTACAGGTTTTATGGCATTTTGGGAAGTTAAAGGGTCAAATATAGCACGTTACATTTGAAATTGAAATTCGCCAGATTGGTTACGTTGCCTTTGGGACTTTATAGTAGCCCAGGAATGAAATTTACACCCACAATGGCATACCATTTGCAATAGTAGACAACCCAAGGTATTGCAAATGGGGTATGTCCAGTCTTTTTTAGTAGCCATTTGGTCACAAACACTGGCCAAAGTTAGCGTTAGTATTTGTTTGTGTGAAAGACCAGAGGGCGCACTATTACGCCCGGTGGCGTTTAGAGCCGCCTAAAATAGGGCGTAATAGTACGCCCTCCGGTCTTAAGGGGTTAATTGTTAAAAAAACAAATGATAACACGTTTAGGCCAACATAGCAAGCTCTGTCTGTAGTGTGTATGTGTGATCATTTTTTTTTTTTTTTTAAATCAGCCCATTTTCCATACGATTTTGTACAACATGAGTGTGCTTCTACGGTGGTGCCTGACCTTATTTTATACTACCTTGGAAGCCCATTTCCATAAATTGTCCCCCTCATATTAGTAAAATATTTGTAATTAATATAGTTGCTGTTATTTAAAATATTTTTCTCTGCCCCAGGAGTGTGTGTGTATACACAATGCAAATACACACAGATACAGAAGAAAATACTGACACAAATACAGACCTACAGATGCACAGATACAAACATTGGCAGGCATGCACATACAGATACCATGACACCTGCACAAACATACAGGTCAAACTTTTAGCCACCCTCCAGTTTTCTACCTTTTGGTTGCAGGTGGCTTCTGCTGGCTACTCAATCCCAAACAGATTTATATTTCTAACACAAGTTCTCCTTTAGGCAAATTAATATGAAGGGGTGGGGACCTATTGTCCATCTCCCAGCCCCCACTCTTGAGCGGCGGGTGGGGGCCCTAAATGAAATTGTTACCTCCCCCAAGGTGAGTAGGCGCCCCTATTCACCCCCCCACCCAAATAAAATAAACCCCTAACTATCCTCTCACCCTAAAAATAGTGAGGGGGAAATAAAAGAACTAAGTACCTGTTTAAAAAAAAAAAAAAATAATTACCATTTTATGTCTTCTTTCTTCTAAAATCTTAATTTTTCAGCCCCCAAAAAGGCCAAATAAAAATACATAATACCCATCGAACGTGCCCAAAAAATAAATAAATAAACCAGAGCGCAAAAAAATCGGACAAAAAAGTAAAAACCCGACTCCACAGGTTGCTCACTTTTTACTAGTATTAGAACATTTGGCTGAAAGACCAATTTGTCTTTCAGCCTTTTGGCAGATAGCTCCCTAATACTGTGGGAATTAGGGAGTTATCTACTAAGCAGCTGCGGCATGAATAGGATCGGAGTTTCATTCACAGGAATGAAATTCCGATACGAACAAAGTCCCGAATTGCGTCCTAACACAAATGGAGAAACTGTTCTCGTTCTGTTCGGACGCAATTCGGTAGTTTTGCCGGCGTTCTGTCTAAGTGACAGGACGTGCTGGAACACGGAGGAAAGGTGAGAATTGTGGGAAAATAGCTCTGACCACCGGAAATGAAGCACACTTTGCTCCTCCGCTGGTCAGGCGTAGGAAACCTCCATAAGACAAGCAGTCCCTACTTTGTCTTATAAATGAAGAACAGATCCTGAGAGAGGGAGACAAGAGGAATCGATTAAAGAAAGGTAAGTTTGGCATGACAGTGCCGCTATAGTAGGGGAACCCCACACCAGGTTACCAAAGTAGAGGAGCTATCTACTAAACAGCTGAAAGAATAAAGGAAGAAAAGCCATTATTCTTACATTTGTTCTTTCATTTACCTAATGTGATACCCTTGATTATGGCACTTCCATGTAAGGATACCAAATTAGGGAGCTATCTAATATAGAGCTGAAAAAAAATTAAAATAAGGGGGGAGAAGAAAATGCCCTTTTCTTAATTCTGATTTTTCAGTTGCTTAACCCCTTTCAGGACCGGACTGTTTTTGCGATGTTTGTATGTTAAGGACACGAGCTATTTTAACACTTTTGTGGTGTTTGTGTTTAGCTGTAATTTTCCGATCTCTCATTTACTGTTCCGATACAAATTATATATTTGTTTTTTTCAGGACAAAAAGGGCTTTCTTTACATACTGTTATTTTTATCATGTCATATAATTTAATTAAAAAAAAAAAAAAATATGGTGAAAAATTAAAAATACTTTTTTTGACTTTTACTTAAAAAATCTTTTACTGATCTACAAAATCGAATGAAACAAACTGCAAAATAGATTCAAAATGTTGTCCTGAGTTTAAAAACACCCAATGTTTTGTTTTTTTGTTGTTGTTTTTTGCTTTTATTGTTATAGGGCTATAAGTATAAGTAGGAAATTGCAGTTTCAAAATGTACACTTTTCAAATGTATCAATAGTGACATTGTAACACTGTTATGTCATAAATCTCCAAAAAAACACCCCACATGTATATATTTTTCTTAAACTAGATAACCCAGGGTATTCATCTAAGAATATTTTGATACTTTCTATGCAGCCATTTTACCACCAGCCTTTGCCAAACTTTGCATAGGTTTTTTATTTTTTTTCACATACATTGCGATTCAGGTATAAAGTGTCACTACCAAACAACACCCCAATATGTGTTTAGCAATATCTCCAGAGTACAGGGATACCCCCCATGTATAGGTGTGTTGGGTTGTTGGGGGGCTAAAAGGCCACATTTGCCAGGTGCGCATATCAGTTTCCCAGCTTGGAATTTTGACATGTAGTCAACCTGCATGCATGTCCTATTTGGGACATTTTTGAAGCCGGCCAATGTATTTTACCCCCATCAAACCATATATTTTTGAAAAGTAGACACCCTAGGGTATTTCACATGGTAGTATTTTAACACTTTTCATGCACTAATTCTACCACCAGGCTTTGTCAAAGATTGAGTTAGTAAAATGTTTTCTGTTTTTTCACACACATTGTACTTTAGGCATGAATTAACAGATCCTGTTATGTGTCACTGCCAAACAACACCCCATTATGTGTTCAGCAAGATCTCCTGAGTACAGTGATACCACCCATGCATAGGCCTGTCGGGTTCTTTGGGGGCTAAAAGGCCACGTTTGTCAGGTGCGCTTATCAGTTTCCCAACTTGGAATTTTGACATGTAATCAACCTGTGCCCCTGTCCCATTTGAGCCAATGTATTTTACCCCCATCAAACCATATATTTTTTAAAAGTAGACACCCTAGGGTATTTCACATGATGGTATTTTAACACTTTCCATGCACTAACTCTACCACCAGGCTTTGTCAAACATTGAGTTAGTCATTTTTTGTTCTGTTTTTTTTTTCACACACATTGTACTTTAGGCATGAATTAACAGATCCTGTTATGTGTCACTGCCAAACACCCCAATATGTGTTCAGCAGCATTGTAAGAGCCCAGAATTTTTTAAGCTCTGGGACATGTGTGGGATGCCAGTCATGCTCTCTGACTGTACAGGGAGTGCAGAATTATTAGGCAAATGAGTATTTTGACCACATCATCCTCTTTATGCATGTTGTCTTACTCCAAGCTGTATAGGCTCGAAAAGCCTACTACCAATTAAGCATATTAGGTGATGTGCATCTCTGTAATGAGAAGGGGTGTGGTCTAATGACATCAACACCCTATATCAGGTGTGCATAATTATTAGGCAACTTCCTTTCCTTTGGCAAAATGGGTCAAAAGAAGGACTTGACAGGCTCAGAAAAGTCAAAATAGTGAGATATCTTGCAGAGGGATGCAGCACTCTTAAAATTGCAAAGCTTCTGAAGCGTGATCATCGAACAATCAAGCGTTTCATTCAAAATAGTCAACAGGGTCGCAAGAAGCGTGTGGAAAAACCAAGGCGCAAAATAACTGCCCATGAACTGAGAAAAGTCAAGCGTGCAGCTGCCACGATGCCACTTGCCACCAGTTTGGCTATATTTCAGAGCTGCAACATCACTGGAGTGCCCAAAAGCACAAGGTGTGCAATACTCAGAGACATGGCCAAGGTAAGAAAGGCTGAAAGACGACCACCACTGAACAAGACACACAAGCTGAAACGCCAAGACTGGGCCAAGAAATATCTCAAGACTGATTTTTCTAAGGTTTTATGGACTGATGAAATGAGAGTGAGTCTTGATGGGCCAGATGGATGGGCCCGTGGCTGGATTGGTAAAGGGCAGAGAGCTCCAGTCCAACTCAGACGCCAGCAAGGTGGAGGTGGAGTACTGGTTTGGGCTGGTATCAAAGATGAGCTTGTGGGGCCTTTTCGGGTTGAGGATGGAGTCAAGCTCAACTCCCAGTCCTACTGCCAGTTCCTGGAAGACACCTTCAAGCAGTGGTACAGGAAGAAGTCTGCATCCTTCAAGAAAAACATGATTTTCATGCAGGACAAGGCTCCATCACACGCGTCCAAGTACTCCACAGCGTGGCTGGCAAGAAAGGGTATAAAAGAAGAAAATCTAATGACATGGCCTCCTTGTTCACCTGATCTGAACCCCATTGAGAACCTGTGGTCCATCATCAAACGTGAGATTTACAAGGAGGGAAAACAGTACACCTCTCTGAACAGTGTCTGGGAGGCTGTGGTTGTTGCTGCACGCAATGTTGATGGTGAACAGATCAAAACACTGACAGAATCCATGGATGGCAGGCTTTTGAGTGTCCTTGCAAAGAAAGGTGGCTATATTGGTCACTGATTTGTTTTTGTTTTATTTTTGAATGTCAGAAATGTATATTTGTGAATGTTGAGATGTTATATTGGTTTCACTGGTAATAATAAATAATTGAAATGGGTATATATTTGTTTTTGTTAAGTTGCCTAATAATTATGCACAGTAATAGTCACCTGCACACACAGATATCCCCCTAACATAGCTAAAACTAAAAACAAACTAAAAACTACTTCCAAAAATATTCAGCTTTGATATTACTGAGTTTTTTGGGTTCATTGAGAACATGGTTGTTGTTCAATAATAAAATTAATCCTCAAAAATACAACTTGCCTAATAATTCTGCACTCCCTGTATAGCTACCTGGTTTGTTATCAATAAATTGGGTAGCATACAAGTTAGTCTGGGAAGCAATCTCCTCCCAGATGGTATCCCTTAAAAATAGTTCTACATACTGCATTGGGGAGAAGCCATCCACATTAACATTAATGCCTGCGTTTGCACTAGAAGGGGGGCTCGGCTAACTGTGGAGGTACCCAGTCCTCCTCCACATTTGGCGTAGCAGAGGAAGCACAGCTTCTTTCTTCAGTCGGCTCACACACAGATGACATGTAGTCTTGACTAGACGTGTCAGAAAACTGACCTGCGTCCAAATCTGACGCAGTGTCAGTGGCGTCCGAGAATGACGTCAAGAAGGCATATGCCTCCTGCAAGTTATACATACGCTACATGTTTTACACACGACTAAAACAAATTACAAACACACAAATTCTTTTTTTTTTTTATACTGACTGACTGACCAAGACAGACCAAGACACAGATTTTTAAAACAAATTTAACCCTTTAAGGGCAAAAATAAAAATAAAAAAATACAGACCGTACAAATGCACTGCTGTAACAGATCTGGCAGGGAAGGGGTTAAAAATATTTTTTTATTCACTTTAGATACTGTATAAAGCTCTGGAACACTTCTGCTGCAACAAACTATCACAATCTTTCTCTCTCGCCTCACAAAACGCTAAAGAGGAGAGAGGGGCAGAGATTACTGTCAAATTGAGTGTTTGTAACACCCACTTTGACAGCAGCCAATTGTGAGCGATCGCGGATCGCTCATACGCCGCAATTGGCTGTTAATATCTGCCTGGGATGTCTGGCAGATAGTAACAGTGTTATACTGGCGGGAGCGATCTTTGATCGCTTCCCGCAGCCCGTTTTTCGCTATGACGGTTTAGGACCATCAGCGGTCCAAACGCACGTTTTACCGCTGACGGTCCTGAAGTGGTTAATATGCAAGTCCATCATTTGCTATTCTTATGAAAACAAATATGTCCGAAATTTTTTGGCTCAATTTTAATAGGTTTGTGTGCTGCCGAATTCGTAAGCCTCCGAATTCTCATCATCTTTTAATCTGCTCTAATAGTATGAAAACAACTACTGCAGCTTCCAACTGCTTATTTCTGTCTTTGTTGCAGAATGAAACATCCATCAGTTGTTGGAATTTTGTGCACGGATTCACAAGGACTAAATTTGGGGTGTAAGTGTCTGTCCTATGAGGTCAATTGGTTTTTAAATGTCAAATTGTTAAGGGAGCAGATTTAAATTAATTGGCTGATTTAGAGTATACATTTGAGCTTGTGCCTATTCGGAAACGAAAACTTATTTTATGACCTTTATTACCGTAATCATTTGTTTTTAACCCCTTAGCAAACATTTCACAACAGTGTCATAAAGCTATGTTTAGGCTTTTGTACTCGCTGTATTTAACCACCAATAACTGTTATCCACACCTTTTTTTTTTAATTTTTTTTATTATAATTTCAGCAATCATGCTTGTTTAGTAAGTAACTTTGTTGGAGTTTGCTGGAAATTGAATAAAGCCACCACACAAAATACAAAGTAAATTCATTTTTTTTTGTATTGGTAAAGTAAAGCTGAACTAATAGCTTTGCTGACATAGATATTTTTATTTTTGAGTTTGGCTATTTTGTTCATGAAATTTATTTAGAATTCTCTTATTAATAAATAACCACGTGCAAATATCCAACAGTCATTTCAAGTAACTCTTTCAGGTTATTACTTTATATAAGTGGTGTATACTGCAGGCTGAACATTAGCTAGGCTCATGCATGATATGTACTATTGCCATCTCCTCAAGTAGAATCTAGACAAGACTCCTGAGTAGCAGGGGTGCTATTGATATAGAAATGACCTTTGCTGATAACAAATTTGTTAGCAGTCCGATTAACACTTGTAATTCTTTAGGCAGAGGGAGCCTATCAGATGAGCATGCTGGTGTGATCTCCATTCTTCCTCAGCAGGCAGCAAAACTTACTTTGGACCCCACAGATGTGCCGGTTGTATGTTTGGAATCGGACAGCGGGTGAGGAATTTTAACCTATACATTTCAAATTCTGTAAAAACTCACACCTGCTCTTTGGTGCACATATTTATGCATTTTAAATTGGTCCCTGAATATATTTCCATCAGTGCTTTAAATTCAACAAAGATTTCAAACTAGTTAGTGTTATATTCATTTAGCAATAGCATGGTTTTGCAGAGCTAGTTTTGCTTACTACTAATGGAGTATTTAAGTGTTAATATTGTAACTGGATTCTTAAAAGGGTTCATTCAAAATATTCACTCTTGACTATTTTGCAGCAAATACTTACCCACGTTGGACGTTCCATGTCATCCTCCACAAAGTGCGCTTTAATGCCTTTAGGCATTTGATTTGAGCAGGATTAAATATCTGCTCACACCAGGGATACTCCAGCACAATATTTTGTTTCCCCTAGGTTGATATATGGGGTGCCCAAGGTGAGTGCAGTAGCTCAGCCATAGGGCTTTAAAGGAACCACCATCTAGCCACCCCCTTGTCTCCATTAATATAGTGAAATCTTACTTGTATTCAAGTCTGCAGCTGCTGGCTCTGCCCCTGAACTGCTTGTCTGTTGTGATCATCAGAAGTGGTGGTCTGAGCCAATCACAATGCTTCCCCATAGGATTGGCTGAGACTGTCAAGGAGGCTGATCAGATCAGAGCACAGCCAGCACAAGTCAAACACAGCCCTGGCCAATCAGCATCTCCTCGTAGAGATCAATTGAATCAATGCATCTCTATGAGGAAAGTTCAGTGTCTGCATGCAGAGGGTGGAGACACTGAATGGCAGTGCTGCTTACTGTGCAGAACTACCCCAGGAAGCACCCGTCTAGCAGCCATCTGAGGAGTAGCCAGTGAAGGTATCCCTAGGCTGTAATGTAAACACTGCAAGAGACAATGTTTACAGCAAAAAGCCTGAAGGGAGTGGTTCTACTCACCAGAACAAATGCAATAAGCTGTAGTTGTTCTGGTGACTGTAGTGTCCCTGTAAGTTAGCTCAAATTCAATTTTTTTTTCTATGTGTTCCACCATAATTCAAAGGGATCCTATAGTGCCAGAAAAACAAAACCATTTTCCTGGCACTACAGATTGCTAAGGAGCCTCCCTCCCTCCCACGGAGCTGAAGAGGTCAAAACCCCTTCAGTCACTTACCTGAATTCAGCGCCAGTGTCCATCAGTGCTGAGTCAGTTTCCGCTCACACTCCTCCCCAATGGCCGTGCTCGCCACTAGGGGAAGACAGAGCTGCAACGTTTTACATTGCAGCACTAGGTGCAAAAACCTAGACTATTTCAATGAGCTGAAGTGGTCTGGGTGCCTACAGTGGCAGATTTTTATTTTGAAAACAAAATCATTGTTTAGTAGATTTACTCCCAATGAATACATGCATGTATTTATTGGGGGTATACCAGGAAAAAAAGCTTTTACCTGAGAAGCCTCTGTGCAATCGTAAGTGCTCACGCCATCTCTTGCATGTCTGATCTGATGTATGTGGAGACACTGGCTTGTCTGAAGACGCTGGTCACACCTCCCTGGCTGTTCCAGAATTTATTTCTAAAAATGCACAGTCCTTGTAGAAATAAACACTTTTCTAATTTGGGGTTAAAATTTGAGTAGTAAAGAAAGAAAAAGTATGAGCCCACTGTCTTAATTACAAGTTTAAAGTTTGCCTCTTAAGGGGTTAAATGATAGCCACCTTTCAAATATGGTAATTCATATTCTCCCACTTGTCTGTTGGGGTTAAATACACAATAGGTAACTATGTGAACACTGCACTACAACGCCTGGACAAGATATTTACCAGTTTGTGGGAGAAACCGCACCAGCGCCTGATACAACCTCCACTATCACCTACTTATGTGACAAAGGTGGGGGGGCGAGCTGCCTTGGGCACACCACGCACCCAAGCCACGGCTGCTCTGGCTGACTGGACAATGGACGCCCGGCGTACTCCTCCTCCACATCGCAAGAAGACCGCCCTCAGCTGGCGGTGACAAACCACCGCGGTCTTCCGTATCACCCGAAGAGGGACGGACACCAGAGTCTGTGGGGAGAAGATGCCGACCTGCCACAAGGCCCGGAATTGGGAAGTGGCCTCTGCAAACCCATGCTGCATCTTCGCCCTAAAGGACCCCAAAATGCCTGCCATCACATTGCCCAGCATGGGATTAGGCTGACTGTGGACATTAAACCCTGCCGGCTGAACCACACGGTACTTTTAGAGAGCACTACACCACAGGGACGAGGTGCACTTTCACACTCCCAAACTATTAATCCAAGTCTTTGCATGGACTCTGCCCCAATCACCCATTGGTTCCCCATGCCTAGCACAGATCCGAACAATCAACAGTGGATGTTTTGTTTGGGGAATTGGCATGTTACAGAACTCCTATCTTACAGGGCAATCACGACAGGGAGTGTGGGGTAACGGTGGCCTAACCACAATGCTTAAATGTTTTCCTGATCTGTCTAATATGCAATCAGATTGTTTATTCTTGTCTTTAAATGATCACTATAGGGTCAGGAACACAAACATGTATTCCTGACCCTATAGTGTTAAAACCACCATCAGGCCCCCTTGGGCCCCTCATGCCTCCATAAATATAGTGCAAATCTTACTGTATTCAAGCCTGAAGCTGTAGCTCTGCATGCTGTATGATTCCGAAAAACAAGCTGTGTGCTGACATAATCAGAAGTGGTAGCCTGATCCAATTACAATGCTTCCCCATAGGATTGGCTGAGACTGACAAGGAGGCAGATCAGGGGCAGAGCCAGCATGATTCAAACACAGCCCTGGCCAATCAGCATCTCCTCATGAGATGAATTGAATCAATGAATCTCTATGAGGAAAGTTCAGTGTCTGCATGCAGAGGGTGGAGACACTAAATGTGTGGATGTATTTTAGGCAGCCATGACCCAGGAAGGATCTCTAAAAGCTATCTGAGGAGTGGCCAGTGAAGTTATCACTAGGCTGTAATGTGAACACTGCATTTTCTCTGAAAAGACAGTGTTTACAGCAAAAAGCCTGAAGTGAATGATTCTACTCACCAGAACAAATTCAATAAGCTGTAGTTGTTCTGGTGACGATAGTGTCCCTTTAATATTCGCCTAGTTAATCAAATGTTATGCTCACCATTTTACTAGTCTGCCTGGCATATAATACACCTGTTTATTCCTGTGTTCATAACACGCATAGTCAGTTGGTATAGCCTGCTCTTTACCACATGTCGTTTTGTCTCCCCACTGACTAAATCTCCTTCTAATGATTATATCATAGAAAAATGTACAGTTTATTTGAAAGCCATGTCAATGTTTCTCTTGTCTGACTATAATATGCTTATGATTGCGGTTTGGCTCGGCAAGCTTGTTGTTACTCCATGCACGACAAAAATAGTGACAACAACAACAAAAAAAGGGTTGCAGATCTGTCTAGATATTTTGAGAAATGTATAAACCAGACACATTAGTATTCAACACAATTTTTTACATTTCTGTTTAATAGATGAAGGGAAGTACGTAAACAAAATGCAGTACACTGGCATTTTTATTCCCTGACAGTAGGGGAGATAAAGTGCATTTAAAAATGCAAATCATGTCCTTCCCCACCCCGATCGGTTCATATAACAAAGATATCCTAGCGGTCCCCTTCTCTTTAAGTGCTTTGGGAAATACTTGCTAATCTGTCAAACTGAGTGAAACTGTGCCATGCAGTTACAAATATTTAATTCACTAGTTGTTTCCATTAACATATACAAATGGATTTCATGCTGCCACTTATGAAATTAACTCTGATTTTCAAATTGTATACCAAAGTAGCCAACATTAAAACAAGGCCGACTTGGATTTTTTTTTTAGTTTGGCTACTTTGTCACACTTTGAAATTCACACTATGGGTGGAACAAGAAGTTTACAGTTTGTATTGGATTTTTGATACTGCAGCCTGACATTCACAGCAAATGCAACCAACCCTTTAAAATGTTGTTAAATTATTCCTGTTTTTGACTTTTTTCCCTTTTTTAATCTTGCAGAACCATCATGATTCAAAAACATGACCACTTGACTGTTGCAGTTCACAAAATGTCATCTTAACGGCTTCTTTTTGTGGAGCAGAAGAGAAGTTTTAATACTTGTTTTATTTCATATTTTTTGTAATGGCCCATTTTGGTGAACTGGATTTTGTGCAATTGAGTTTCAATGTCACTGTCATGTTGCCTTTTGGAAACACTTCCTTTATCAAAGGAGAGAAGTGCTGATTCACACATTATGGATTTAACATTAGAAGTGGTAAATTAATCTGGTATACATATATTTTCCATAAGTATTCATGACTCCTTTACAAGGCTTGTGATTTACACAATAAACTAACTTACTGAAAACGTCACTGTTTGAGTACTTAATTGGATTGGTAAATAGACTGTGCACGCGGCCTAAGGCGCCACTATGCCAGGTAGCACTTGCTATGGGGATAAGAAAATGTATAGATACTTTTAAAGGGACCCTATAATCGCCAAAACAACTTTAGCTTAATGAAGCAATTTTAGTATAGAGATAACCACTATCCCCCTGAAGTCTCACTGGTCAATATTTGCCGCTTCTGAGTTACCGTAAATCACATTTGATTTTGTCTATGTAGCCCTAGGCACAACTAGCCTGCATGAAAAAAGTGGTTTCTTTTTCAATCAGATATTAACTAGCTTATTCTTAATTGTATCTCCTGCTCTGAAAATTGAACTTTACACACATAGGAGGCTCCTGCAAGGCCTAGCAATCTATTAACAGTGCAGGAGGTAAGAAATTAAACAGAATTTGAAATAAAAGGAAGTGTAAACATTAGCTCACACTTTTCAGGAAGTGTTCAGAAAGGCTGCGCAAGTCACATGCAGGGAGGTGTAACAAGGGCTGTAGAAACAGTGATTTAATGCCAAAATGGCAGTTTCACTTTCACAGCCCATGTCTCCCTGCAGCTCCGTGTGAGCTGTGAAGTGCAGAGAGACAGATCGGTGCTGATCGGTCCCTGGCTGTAAAAAAATAAAGTGTTAGTAACAAAATCCCCCCTCCTCACCTCTTTCAAATAAAATGTAACCCCTTACTTGCCCTTTGATCACTATCTGCAGTGATCAAAATTCAGATAACAGTATTTCACTGTGATCTGACTTTTTTCTTTTAACCCCTGAAGGTTAACTTTTTTTTAATCTTCATGGGTTAAATTTAGTTAGTTTCTTAAATATTTCTAAAATATTTATTTAGCTAGGGTGGGTAGAAGTTAGTGGGGGAAATTGGGGGGATTTACCATTGGGCTAGTTAGGGGTTAACAGTTTAAAAAAAAAAAAAAGTGATACACTTTTGAAAAGTTTAAACAAAGTTTTAAAATAGTAAAATAAGTTGTTAAAAGCTAAAAAACAAAAAAAGACTTTTTAAAGTAAAAACAAAAAGAGAAAAATGCATATTACCTCTACACTTGGTACAGGCCAGCGAAAAAGTTATACCACCCTAAGATTTAAAATATGCCTTTTAAAACACTCTGGGGTGTCTTCTTTAGGAAATTGTATAACTTTGTGAAGTAATTGGAAAACACAACCTATTTAAAAAATTCCAAAGTGGGGCATGGACCCAGCATAAAAATTCAAACTTAAATGGCTGTGTCTCAAATGTGCCCCATCAACGTTATCATATGCCTGGTAAAGGTACATATGGGGGTATTGCTGTACTCAGATGACATAGCTGAGCAACATGTGATGTATTATACTGCTGTAGCACACATACGGTTTGCAAAATATATATTACAAACTCACTGTGTGTGTCAAAAAGGCATAAAAAATTACCACTACACTTGATACAAGCTAGCAGAAAAATGATCCCACGGTAAGGTTCAATATATGTCTTTTGAAATACCCTAGGGTGTCTTCTTTAAGAAATGGTATGCCTTTATGGGGTAGGTGGAATAATTAACCTACTAAAAAAAAAAAAACCAAAAAAAAAAAACCTCCAAAGTGGGGTATGGACCCAGCGTAAAAATTCTAAGTTTGAAAAAAAACCTGCATTGGCTGTGTCTGAAATGTGCTCCTTCAACGTCCACATATACCTGGCAAAGGTATATAGAGGGGAGGGGTATTGCTGTACTCCACAACATAGCTGAGCAACATATGAAGTATTGTAAAGATGTAGCACACATAAGGTTTGCAAAATATACAGTACAAACTCAGTGTGTGTCAAAGGTAGAAAAAAATGCTTATTACCACTACACTTGATACAAGCTAGCGGAAAAATTATCCCACATAAGGTTCAAAATTTGCCTTTTGAAATACCCTCAGGTGTGTTCTTTAAGAAATAGTATTCCCTTTTGGGGTAGTTGGAAAAAGCAGCCTAACATATTTTAAAATAGAATACGGACCCATTAAAACCCTCCATGTAAATTCACACTTAAAAACCTGAACTTGTCACGTCTCTTTAACAACACTATAACTTCACAAAATAGTGTCTAGGTCATACATTGGGCTTATTGTTTTACTCAGTAGAGGTAACTGAGCATACTTAGGGGGAATTTATGACAGTGGCACTTATCAAATGTACAAAATACCCAGCGAAAATGCAACATGTATGTAAAAAGAAATTATTTTATTTTCTCACCACAAAATTTTAAATAAGTTGGTGAAAAAATGGTGGCAAGTTAAGGTATAATATATGCCTAATAAGATACCCTGGGGTGTCTGCTTTCTCAAATGGAAGGCCTTTGTGGGGTTATTTGAACAGTCAAATGGTTATAATGCCACAAAATCAGACATATGACCATCTATGAAAATTCCAATTATAGAAACTGAAATAGCATGGTCTCCTATATGGCATTGTAGCTTCACAGAATAGGGACAAAGTTATACAATGGGGGTATTGTTGTACTCAGCAGATGTAGCTGAACACAATATATAGGGATAGCACACACCAGCTTAAGAAATACACATTACAAAAACCTTATGTGTATCTGCCAAAATAGAGAAAAACCACAATTTTACTCCAATATTTAGCAGAGATTGGCGGTGAAATGGCTACGTAAAAAGTGTCAAAATAAACTTAGGAAAATAGCCTGTGATGTTTACTTTATATAAATATATACTATTGTGTGGCAATTTTGTTTTCTGTAATGGGTATTAAACTTCCAAGACAAACATACCAACTTCTAAAATTGTTTCACATTGAAATTTTATTTTACACCTTGTAGTTTGTGACCTGTAACTTTCAAAATAAACTGAAATCCTACATATATTATGTACTTTGTAAATCAAGACACAAATGAATTGATTTTGAATTACTTTTCCTAAGCTGGACATATTATGTACGTTATTCTTGCGAAAACTTGGGGAAAAGTGTTTTTTTTTTTTTTGTTTCCCCCCAATTATTTTGCATTTTTTTTGGTAATCAATGAGAATTTCAATGTTTATCAAAACCAGAATACCCTGCACTCAGGTCCTGCACATATGCTCTGGCCTTCCACCAAGGGGGAGCTCTGTGTATAGGATGGATACTGCTGAATCCACCAATGTAATACCAAAGCAGAAAAACACAGGCAGCACTCCAGGATATAGAAGGTGAATTTATTCGTGGGTTCACCACCTCACCAAAAGAAGTGCGTTGTTTCGGCACCTAGGAGCGTTAATCATGCATAAGAAATACAGCATACTTATTGCATGGATATATGCATGCAGTTTAACTTGCTGTACTAGACAGGATATTTAACCCTTTTATGCTATGGAATATCAACTAGAGATGAGTGTATTACTATGTGATTGTATAATATATTACTGCATCCTTATATCCTGATCCTATACTTGAGTAGAGTCCATGTCTTGTTTTTAAATGTCACAGATACATATGTTTTAATGTGTGTAATCTTTAATTAACTTGATTGGTTTTTGGGGTTTTTAAACACTGCAGTTATGCTGTATCCCTTATGCATGATTAAGGCTCTCAGGAGCCAAAATGTCGCACTTATTTTGGTGAGGTGGTGAACCCACGAATAAAGTCACCGTCTATATCCTGGAGTGCTGCCTGTGTTTTTCTTCTTTGGTATTTCAATATGTATATGTCACATCAAATTAAAGCCTTTTTTGTTGTTTTTTGTTGTCTAAACAATATATAATACGTGTTGGTTCAATAAATGAGAGATGCAAATTGCAGATGAACCCAAACAGCAAAAAAATGCAATAATTGCTTGTGTGTTTAAGGATATGTCCAGCTTCTGATGCTGTGTTCTTAAGAGGTTAAGCTAAAGTTGTTTTGGTGACTAGTGTCCCTTTTAGAGTAATTCTAAGCACAATGGCACATTATTGCAAAGTTGATGGTGCAGTTCCTCTCAGAGTTGCTTATTGCTCCCTGGCACAATTAAATTGAACGTATATTACAGGGACACAATGTATCAAATACAAAACAAATATAAAAATAACCAGCTATAATTCTATAGTCTAGGGCTGAGGCTGTATGTGTCAACTTTGTCCAACTAATGTCTGCAGAGAAAAGGGACTGAGTCACAACCACAAGCATGTATGGTTGATTGCTGCACACAGGGCAGTACAAAATCTGAATTGTGCGGTGTTTAAATTGATGGCAGCTACAGAATGGCTGAACACTGAATTTCTAATAACTATTACCATTTCTAATAGTTTTTTTTTTTGGGGGGGGGGGAGGAGTTGAAAGAGGATGAGACTCCTGATTGGAAGAGCTTCGTCCTGTTGCGTTAGAGATGCGTTCAAAACTGCAGTAAGATATACTCTTCAAAAATGTAGATAGATTTTACTGGTTCCTGTATTCAAAAAGGGTTCAAACTCCATGCCTGGAAATCAGACCTGTGAACTTTCCTTCCGTGGCTGGGAAAGTATTTGAAAGGTTATTCAAGGGATGATAGTCAATAATTCTGAGAAGAAAGTGGTTATCAGCAAAATTCTGCATGGGTTTATAGAGCACAGGTTATGTCAAACTAACTTGATTGCATTTTACGAAGAACTAAGTAGACGTATAGATCAGGGTGTTGCAGTGGATGTAATCTATTTGGATTTTGCCATGGCGTTGGATACAGTTCCACACAATAGATTAGTGTTCAAACTCAAAGAAATCGTTCTAGATGTAAATTCTTGTCCTTGGGTAGAACATTGGCTTAAAAACCGAGTACAGGGTGTTGTTATTAATGGTAAATTTTCAAGCTGGACAGAGGTGGCAAGTGGTGTCCTTCAGGGTTATGTTCCGGGACCCCTTCTATTTAACATGTTTTATAAATGATCTTGAAAAAAGTATTGAAAGTCCTGTTCAGTGTTTGCAAATGACACAAAACTATGTAAAGTAATGCAATGTGAGCAAGATATTGCTTTGCTGCAGTGGAATTTAGATGGACTGGGCACTCAAATGGCAGATGAAATTTAATGTAGAAAAATGCAAAGTTATGCACTTTGGCGTAAAGAATGCACAAGCAACTTCTACCCTTAATGGACGCGAATTAGGGATAACACCACACGAAAACGACTTGGGAATTGTACACAACAAACTATGCAACAATGTGCAATGTCAATCAGCAGTGGCTAAGGCCTTTAAGGTATTGTCATGCATGACAAAGGGTGTTATTTCTCGGGATAAGAACATCATGTTGACTCTATAAATCAATGGTAAGACCACACCTTGAATATGCTGTGCAACCTGTTCTAAAGAAGGATGTTATGCCACTAGAAAAAGTGCAGAAGCAGGAACATTTTAGCTATGAAGACTGGTTAACAAATTTAAAGCTTTTTAGTTTAGAAAAACCTTCCCTCAGAGGGGACATGATAACCTTATACAAATATATCCGGGGCCAATACATACCATTGTGTGGAAATCTATTCACAAACAGGACTTTACATAGGACACAAGGTAAGAAAAATAAGAATATGGAATTCTCTGCCTGGAGAAGTGGTTTTATCAGAGTCCATACAGATGTTTAAACCGCAGCTAGATGCATAATTGCAAAAACAGAATATTCAAGGATATAATTTTTTTTTAATGTAGGGTAATAGCTTCTTGATCCAAGAATAAATCTGCCATTCTCGGGTCAAGAGGGAATTTTTTTCCCTTAGTTTGATGCAAAATTGGAAGTGTTTCAAACTGTTTTTTTTTCTTTGCCTTCTTTTGGATCAACAGCAAAAAACAAATGTGAGGAAAGCTGAACTTGATGGACGACATGTTTCTTTTCGGTCTATGTAACCGTGTGTTGATGCAATTTTATCATGTCAGGGAGCCTCCATGCGTTGGCATAAAGCATGTATACAGTCCTATTTGAAGAGAGTAGCTCAATGCTTCCCACAGCAAAAGAATATTAATTTTCATACAGAGTAGCTGACTCTAATCATTCAAATATGAAACCATCACTATGGGAACATGCCCACTGTCACCTGCTTGCAGGGGATATTATTAATGCAGAACTAGTGTTGGTTCAGTATGTATTTTAAACAACACTAGACCACATTTGCCAACATGAGTACTGCCCACATCCCAAAAAGTATTACATCCAATCATGGCAAATTTATCATGCCACTTTGATTTACTAAAGGGCCCGAACTACTTCATCTCGAAGTAGTCTGGGTGCAGTGGTCTTTTTTAGTTTTACCTTTGCAATATAAAGCATTAACATTTAGTAAGTATGGCAATGCTTACACTGCAGGGTTAAATAAGCCTCTAATAGATGCCTACCTGACAGGCACTGAGGAACTTTTGCTGTGAGAACAGTCGATCTTGCTTCTCACAGCTAGCATTCAATAGCAGCGCCACACGTGAGCTTCTAGTCCCAAATATTCCTCTAGGAGGAGCATTATACTGCTTGATATGTCAGCGTGATATATTGGGAGGCCGGACTTTATCTTGGTGCTGAAAAAAATGAACCAATACCCTTCTCTACCCACCCTAAAGATTGGAGTGGAAGGGCTTGAATCTAAATAAAGAGAACACAGGTTTGTATTCCTAATGCTATAGTGTTCCTTTAATCTGAATACCCTAATCAGTTGCAGTGTTTATTTCTTGAAATAGGCTGTAAATAATAAAATCTGTCTCATACATAATTGGACAGTGATGCTGACTCAGAAAAGAGACACAAAAATATTTATCTACCTTTTAGTTGTGGTCTGTCTTCCAAGTTGTTACTTTAATTAGCTCTATAATTCTAACACGTGGACTGTGATCAAATTGCTATGAAGGAAAACTTTAATGTGGATGCAAGCACCAGTGCAAGAATTAGTTCAAATAGCCCTTTCTCCCCACTCTACTTTTTACACATCTAATGTGGGTGTTTTGGCAGAAACACAATAATATTTTACACATTTGTAGTTGATTTATACCAACATTTTTGCACAAACACTCTTTAATTAGTTTAGACGTTTGAGATCTATTTTATATGAATCATTGTCACTTATTGTACTGAATTTCAAATTTTTCTGTAGATAATAGGAAATCACACCAACACATTTTTAGAACACACTTTATTAATGGGAGTATTCGTTATACATAATAAATTATAAATAATCTTTAAATGCCTGTCACTGTATATTAACAAAACAAGTGCACACTGACGTAAATCACAGTTCACAGACAGTATGCTGGCCACAAAAAAAAGCCATATGTTACATCTGGTCTGTGGGCCTCCAATGCTTGCCAGCTATATAGACTTACACATTTACTTTAATACCAGACATAAAACATAATACTATCGTAGCTTCAAGCTCCAAACAGATAGTTAAGGTAGTGGATTTTGGATCACCCTTACTAGTGTGCTGTGTGGCCAGGGATTTTCTTTTTTCTTTAAAGGGTACTATAAGTGCGAGGAATATAAAGCTGTATTCCTGGCACTATAGCTCCCTCTGCCTCCCCCTTTCATCGCGCCCCCCCATTCGGTAAAGGTAAATAAAAGAGTTAAAAACCCTTTAATTACCTTTTGCCAGCACTGATGTCCCTAGGTGCAGGGCCGACGCTCACACGCGACATGCTAGTGGTAATATGCACGCGTGCCTATTAGACCTCACCATTGAATCGATGCTTTCCTATGGGGAAAAATCTGACACTGGATGTCTTCATGCAGAGCGTGAGGACGTCCAGCATCAGTTACTGGACCAAAGGTCTATTTCTATTCCGGAAGCCCCTCTAGTGGCTGTCAGGTAGACAGCCACTGTGGGCATACTTAGAGCTGCAATGTTTAACATTGCAGTACTAAGTGTAAAAGGGACACTGGCACCCAGACAACTTCAGTTAGCTGAAGTAGTCTGGGTATCTAAAATGTGTCCTACAGTGTCCCTTTAAGTCCATAACATCTTGCATTATGTGCATATTCATCTAGTTCAGTGCAATCTACCTATTTTGTGGAGGGAAATGCCAAAAAGCACATAAATATATAATTTTAAATTTAACCTTCCTCTTACCCTTATTTGTAAATGGTCTCCTTACACTATCCCCACACGGTCTACATTTAGGTTCTGGTAGAGTTACTTATATCTTCTATACTTCTCTACTGTGGCATGTGAAGTCTCCTTACTTGGCCCAAAAATAGATCATTTTCTATTCAACCTCTGGCTGAATTTATCCAGAAGCAGTGACAAGTCTGTAATTTGCAATTTGTCAATACTGCTTCTAGTGGATTTTGTTCTGTGAAAGACCAGATACTGCATGGTGGGCTTCTGCTTCAATACATTTATTACTGCACAAATACCACCCACATATATTGTGTATATTTATTTGCCAATGGGGGGGGGGAGTGGACATTTTGAGCCGTGTTTTATATTATGGTTATAATATAGGTCCCTTAAAACTATTATGTGGCTTTATTGATAAGGCATAGTCAATAAATGAGTACCTGAAATAATATATAGTAAATCACAGCAGCATGTTTTCATAAGGTTAGGTGGTAGCATTCCTCGTAGATGTCAGGTTTCTGGTTCTGAAACGAAAGCAACACATTTTGATAATTAACTATATAAGGACCGATTTTCTATATAGCAGTATATCATGTGATTAAGTACCTTCTCTTAGAATAAGAACTTTATTTTTTATCCAAGTCCATTTCTAACACAATCTAGTAATTAATGTAGTGTGGACCATGTAACTGCACATTCTCTGAGCTGGCAAGAGGAGGGGGAGTGGTACAAAAAAAATCTGAATGGATGGAATTGGGAGGGAGTAGACACAAGACTTACCAGCAAGCTCTGCCTGCAAGGGGAGAATCACATTACATTTGTCGCCAGTATGCGCTGACAGACATATACTATGCACAGATTTGACAGTAGGCAGCCTTTAACAGAGCAACCCTATAAGATGCAACATATGTAAGAGAGCTGAATCTCTACTTTTGTTATCTCCACATTGTTACCCCACTTGGAATTGTAATTAATGCTGAAATAAGTGAAATTAACATATAGTATATTATACGTTAATCACTATTTAGGCATCAAAACAACATTAGCTTAGTGAACAATTTTAGTGTATAGATTATGCCCCTGCTCAATTCTCTGCCATTTAGGAGTTAAATTTCTTTGTTTATGCATAATTGATCACTGAAACTGCAGGAGTATGATCTATACATCCAAATCGCTAAATTATGTTGTTTTGATGCCCTATGAGCAATTTCTTCCTTTGGGACATATTTAAAGCCAGCTTGCAACCCCTGCAGATCTCTTGTCTACAGCCTTTGTAAGCTTTCTCCTTTCCGCAAAAAATTATGTCGGGGAAGAGGCCAACCAGAGTTTTCATGGAGAAGCCTCTGATTTTAGGCTGCAACAACACACACGCAATCTTCCAATTTAGACACTTCTCTTTGAGCTAGCCAAGCAAGCATGGCTCTTTCATTAGCTCTGTGGAGCTAGTGGAAGATAATCTCCCTGTATGTCTGATTCACACGGAAGAGCTACTGCAATGATTTATAAAATTGTCAATTTTACAAGCCACAATTAAAATGAGCAAGCTAACAGTGCTTTTTGTGTGTGGAGCTTTCCTATAAATAAAACAGTGCAATACTGATTATAAAGAGTTACTCCAACCATCATAGTCACACAAAGAGTACCCTGACGCCGCACCCTGTTAATGGAGCAAACCATTTTACAGTGGTTTACCCTTTTACATGGGATCCTGCAGGATGCCAGCTCTCTTTTTCAGCGGAATTACAACGTTTGGCTTCTGCATAAGCCAGATGCTGATCTGGTAACTGGTGCAGAGCATTGCTGATTACATTCAGCCAATTAATAAGCGCCTGTACATACAAATATACACATAATTCACATTAGTTCCAAGCTAGCTAATGACATGCCAATGACGATACACTGAGTAACACTACCGGCAGCAAAGAGGTTTTATTGTGAAATGCTTCACATTCACAGATTTCAGTAACCATGAACACTTCAAATCAATGAAGTGTTTACAGTGCCTGGAGTAAACCCTTTAAATCAGCTCTATCACCTTCTGGGGTCTTTGCATATTTTATGCCGTAGCCCAGGGGTGCAGTGCAGGTGAGTTCTACCTACATGAAGCTGTCCCCTGCCAGCACTGCCATCTTTACTCTTCAGTGCATGGCGCTTCATAGAAAAGGAGCCCACTTCAGTGTGGTAGTCCAGGAGTACCGTGTTTGGAGAAACCTGCGAGAGTCTCCGTAGATATAATTTTATGATGAAAGAGACAATGACTTATTCCCACAGCCGTTGCTAGCGACAGCAGAGGAGGGTAACAAAACTTGACGGCGGTAGTAGAGAACTTACCATAATAGCTCTTACTTTGTTTTAGGATAACTTTTGACTGTGTTGAAATTGAATTTTTTTTTTTTTTTTTTTCTTTAATGAAATGCCCAAACAAATGTTGGGTGTGACAGAGCTGTTTTAACACCTCTCAAGGGATCAGGTGACAGCTTTTGCTCACAAATTAATTAAGATTCAACACATATAAGATATATAAATGACTCCCATGCACTACAGCGAACTCAATGTATACTAACATGATTCAGCACACATAATATAACATAATATAAATGACTTGCATGCAATATAGTGAATACAATATATTTTCCAAAAATGTTTAGTAGCAAAATGATCAGTCAAGCAGGACTCTATAAAAAAAATTAAATGTTTTATGTGATAGCCTTTGTATAATCACTTTCCAGGGTTTTTAGTAAAGTGAAAATACTAAATAAATTTTAGAATAAGGCTAAAGTAGCCAAACAAAAAACCCAGAGTATTTTCCCAGTTCAGCTTTTTTTTTTTTAACCTTAAGTTTGAAATTAATTTTGTTATTCCTTTTTTTGTTATGTTATTACTAAAATAAGCATTCATATGGTTTACAGTAACTGTGTTCTACAGTCACCCTCAACAAGACAAATTAAATCTAAAAAAAAAATAATTTATAAAACATTTACTCTTTTTGGTTTTCAGTTAAAGGGAAACTTTGGGTACCAATACAACTTTAATAGGTTATGGCCTCGTTAATAAGCTGCATATTTTATTTTTTTTGCCTGTTGCAACATAAGCCTGTTTCTTTGGCCACACCTCCTCAATCCAGAAAAAGACGTCCGCATCAAACACTGCTCAGCCACTTACAGTACTGAATAATCTGTACTACATAACCTGTGTTACGAGAGAACAGTCAGGGAAGCATATGGTAAGGATGTCACTACCAGTTTACATACTCTGCAGCCTGGTGTTGAATGAAAAATAGCTTGAATCAGTACTGTTGCATACATTTGATAAGGTAGTCTTTCTGGCACAGAAAGGAGTTGCTAATGAGGCGAGCTTATGGTGCAGCATTCTGCAAAACACTTGTTTTTGTGCAAAAACTATAAACATTTGAGCATGGAAAAAAATATAGCAGATTAAGGAGGCCTAAATCTATCAAATGCATTAGAGAGACAATCCGGACACCAATGCAACTTTAAGTATTGGACTGAAGTCTATCAATCACTAATATACAGACTCTGACCACTATAAAGGAATGCTCTTGCCATGCCCTTTTTAGAAAACCAAGTTAAAATGTATGTGTATCCTTGTTTTTGGTTTTATGCATGGGGATCTACTGCTCTTGTTATTCTCAAATGGGTGCAGCTACTAATTAAATCTCACTACAGTTGACACAATTAAATTTTTATACATCTATTTTATGTTGAAGGGGCCCTCTAAGCACCAAAACCACATCTAAATGTAGTGGTTTTTGCACATAGATGGTGCCTTTTTCTCTTATGTGAAACATGGCTGAAAATGCTTCTATTGACGGTCAGTCAAACAGCCTCTCATTCTCCCTTAGATGTTCCAGGTCTTCATATGATGATGCCATGTGTCTAAGCTTTGGTATATAATTGGTTTAAAAAAAAAAAAAAATATATCCATATTTTTTTTTTTAACATTTTAGTGTTCCGTTTTCAGTATGTTTCTCTAAACGTAAAAAGGCACAAAGGCAGATTTACTAAATAATCTTTCCCACAGTTACCAAGATTCTAAGGGGAAACAAAGTAGCAAACATGGAGGATAAGGTTATATTTAGAGATAGGGCAGATGAAGATAAGGAAGCAAGAACTGCAGGTTGGTGAACTTTATGTAGGTAGGGTATATCAGTATAAAAATTTTCCATGACAGATTGTGATACACTTAGCTAATCAATACCAAAACTGCCAATGCTAATAATGAACGTCCGCATTAGCAATATGCCGAGCAAGGGAGCAGGTGCCTGGGTTGGTGTCAAACCTTTAAAAATAAATAAAAATTGTATGAAACAGAACCAGGGGATGGCACCTGCAGCCTTCTGGCACCATAACCACAACAGCTCCTTAGTGCTCCTTTTAATCTGCAATGAAAAAGAAGTTAAAAATAGATAAGGCAAGAAAAAAATATATTGGAAGATAGGAAATATAGCATAAAATTGTACGTGAAAAGGACAAGTTATCCTTGGAGAGGATAGTGGGGTTATAAATGAAGTTACCAAGTGATTGCATGTAAACAGAAATAGTAAATTGTGGCCTCGCCGGTCCGGCAGCACTCCTGTCCTGTCACTAACGCTGAGGACGGAAGGAGGGAGAAGCATGTCTCTCTCTCATGCTCCTTTGTGGTTCCCACAATTCCCAGCACAGGATGTGGAAGAATGAGACACAGGGGGAGAAAGAGGGGGAATAGAGAGATGGGGAGAAAGAGACAGAGAGGAAGAGAGATGTGGGGGAGAGAGAGACACAGGGAAAGGGGGGAGACACACAAGGGGAGAAAGAGGAAGAGGGGTAAGAGAGACTGGGAAGGAGAGGGGAGACATGGACACAGGAGCAGTGAGGGGGAGAAAGAAACATACAGAGTGACTGGGGGGAGACAAAAAGGCACACAGAAGGGCTGTATATATCACTGGTGGATCCAGGGGGGCAATGGGGCAATTGCCCCCCCTCCCCTGTCCGCAGGCACCGTGCGGGCAGCCGGCAGGGGAGGGAGGAAGAGAGGACCCGGGAGCTCAGCCTGCAGCTCCTCTGGGTCCTTCTTGCGCGAGCACAGAGCGTTGCCGCGGTTACCATGGCAACGTTACGGCTCTTGCGAGAGTCAACTCTAGCCCTGGAGCTCCGGGCTAGAGTTCACTCTCAACACTGTGACCACCAGGGATTCCTGGTGGTCGCAGTTGTGAGAGTGAACTCTAGCCCCATAAACACACTGCCCCCACACACACACACACACACCATACACATTCACACACTGCCCCCACACACACCATTCACATTGCCTCACACACACACACACACACCATACACATTCACACACTGCCCCCACACACACCATTCACATTGCCTCACACACACACATACACTGCCCACCCATACACACACAGCCCCCCATACTAACATTGCCACACACATACACAGCCCCCTCATACACACATTGCCCCACACAGCCTACACATTCACACACTACACCCCCTCACACACACTGAACCTTTCACACACATTGCACCACTGCTCCTATACCCTACTACAGCTCCATATCCCAGCAGACCCCAGGTAAGTTGTCAAACTGTTCTTAAACAGAGCAGTAGTGGTTATTGTGCATGGATTATTTCTTTAAATAATCTACAAGTGCCCCAGTAGCCAGCCAGCCAGCCTGCCCAGCCAGCCAGCCAACCCACAGGCCGGCCAGCCAGCCAGCCAGCCAACCCACAGGCCGGCCAGCCAGCCAGCCAACCCACAGGCCGGCCAGCCAGCCAACCCACAGGCTGGCCAGTAGCCAGCCCACAAGCCACCAGTTAGCCAGCCCATGGGCCAGCCAGTCAGCCCACAGGCCTACAGCCAGCAAGCCCACAGCCTGCCGGCAGTAGCCAGCAAGCCCACAGCCTGCCAGCCACAGCCAGCAAGCCCACAGATGACAGCCAGCAACAGTAATTAAGGTAAGAGGAGCCAACTTGGTCTAGGTATCAGCGAGCTATGTTGTGTTGCTATATTGTGAATAGGAACCAGAGTGATGGAGAAACCCCCTCCAGGCCCCATTAGACTCCATTGTAGTGTCTAATGGGGCCTGGAGGAGATTCTTTCTAACACACTCTCTAAAGGACACTGAGATAGCCTCTGCTAGAATGACCCCCCCTCCATAGCCCATTAGCCCTCAATTGTAGTCTCTACTGGGGCTTGGAGGCGACTGTTTCCAGCAGAGGCTATCTAATGGACGCTGAGATGGCCTGTTAGAAAGACCCCCTTCCACAGCCTGCCAGCCGCAGCCAGCAAGCCCACAGCCTGCCGGCAGTAGCCAGCAAGCCCACAGCCTTCCAGCAAGCCCATTAGCCCTCAATTGTAGTCTCTACTGGGGCCTCGAAGCGATTATTGCACTTTTGTTCCTTGTGTCTAAAAGATTGTGTAGGGTGTGGCTGGAGGCGGTGTATGGAGGTGGGACAAGGATGGCACTTGCTGTGGAGTATGGGTGGGGCCTGTAAGGGGGCCCTTGATTTATTTTGCCCGAGGGCCCTGAGGGTTCTCAGTCTGCCCCTGGGTGCACAGCTGGGCTTAACCCAGGTGAGTTAATGGAATCTCCAGGTTAGGAGCTACCAGTTCTCTGTTTTCTGTAATAGAGGTGGGGAGTAGCACCTGGTGGACTCCGGGTATAAATCCAAATGTACGAACATGGTTTGACTACTTAAAATGTGGGAGGGACACCAGGGTACGCCTGGCATCATAACCACTTCAGTGTGAGTTGCAGTGGTTATGGTGCTTGTAGTGTTTATTTAAACGAGAAGTTCAAAAGTAGGTCTTCAGCTTTGGTTAAACAGTGCAGGTTCCAGGATCTTCCTAGAAATATGAGCATTTAACCTGTATATGAGTAGACAAAAAGAGATGCATTAAAAAAGATGCAGTAATGTTTCAATACTTAACTACTCCCCCTTTTCTTGCAGGTTAATAGCTACTTACAGCACATGACTTTATTTACTATACATATTAATATTGCAATCCAGACACCATAACATAGGTTGCAATGTGATTTGTAAAATTGATACTGTTTCAAGCTTATCCCTTCAGTGAATATAAGCTGTATAAAATTCCCATTTTTCTTGACAGGCTCATGTGTAAAACTGTTAGTGAAGTTGTTAAAGGAACACTATACGGTCAGGAACACAAACATGTATTCCTGACCCTATAGTGTTAAAACCACCATCTAGCCTCCCTGGCCCTCCCTTGCCTCTCTAAATATAGAAAAATCTTACTTGTTGAATTGAAACACATTGGATTGGTGTATCACAATTGCCATGCATCTAGGACTACAATTCTTCTCTAAGAGAAATATTGGATAAAACCAGAGATCATCATAATTGGAAATCTTACCATGGGTGGAGGACACTGCTTTAGTACTTTGCATTTTTTTTTTTTGCAACGTTGGGTGCATTAGCCTACATCAAAACACTTATGTTAGGGGGAAAAAAAGCTATATTTCTAATGTTTATTACAAAGTAGATCATCAGTAACTTAGAACCAACTTATTAAAACCCTTAAAAACCAGTGAAGTAAAAATAAGACATGACAAACTAGTCTGTAAAAATCACATATCAAAACTACTTTTACAAATGCAGGGCTGCAAGTAACTAGAAATACAAAATTAGCAGAACATTCCATACTGAATGGGGCTTTAGGGGCCAGATTGTGAGAAAGAATGAGAAAGAACTGCACAGTGTGGACTCCTGATTCCAAATATCCACTTCCAGATTCCCTGGTTTGGCTGTAAAAACAAACAAGACACACGTTACCAGCTTTTACCACACATTTTACCTGTTAGAAGGATGTGCTTTCTTACTTCCATGATCCTTCTGTATATGGGTAATGAATTAAATGTAATGCAATGACTTACTTCCCTACATGTAAATTTCTACCACAGCTATTGTTAAAGGACCACTATAGGAACCCAGACCACTTCAGCTCAATGAAGTGGTCTGGGTGCCAGGTCCCTCTAGTTTAAACCCTGCAGTTGAAAACATAGCAGTTTCAGAAATGAGGGTTAATCCAGCCTCTACTGGCTGTCTCACTGAAAATCACAGTGAGAAGACGCTGGACGTCTATAAGAAAGCATTGAGTAATGCTTTCCTATGGGCGGTTTGAATGCATGTGTGGCTCTTGCCGCGCATGCACATTCGGAGCTGACGTCGGCAGGGAGTTGAGAGTTCCCCAGCACAGAGGGAGCCCAGCGCTAGAGAAAGGTAAGTGGCTGAAGGGGTTTTAACCCCTTCAGTCCAGATGGAGGGGGGGACCTAATGACCCTATGGTGCAAGGAAATTGAGTTTGCTTTCCTGGCACTATAGTGGTCCTTTAAAGAGTAATTGCCACTTTACAGGATTTTTTAAATTATCCAGACGTGGACTCCTTGCTCACGGTGCCTAAAGAGATATCCGCTATGCCTCACTGATGATGCCTAACAAGGCTGAAACGAACGTCTGGGGTTGCGGTGTCTCTCGTGCAGACAGAACTTGCTGGCATTTCGGATCTGGAATGCCCGTATGGGTGGGACCAGTCTGATATGTTTCAGAGATGTTCTCTCTGTAATGGCACAAGATGAGCTAAAACCAGCTTGAGTTCTGAGAGGGGACCCACAGAAGGGCAGGCTATTTCGGTTGCTGTCCGTTCTCAGAATACTCTTGTGACTCGTTTTTTGCTCTCCATTTTTAAAATTATGTTTACTTATCCCTCGTGATGTAAAAAACAAACAAAGAAAGAAACAAAAAAGGTAGAATTTCATGCCTCTTTCAAGGGATACTATAGTCACCAAAACAACTTAACTTAATGAAGCAGTTTTTGTGTAGAGATCATGTCTCTTAAGTTTCACTGCAATTTAGGAGTTAAATAACTTTTGTTTGTTTATGCAGCCCTAACCACACCTCCCCTGGCTGTGACTGACGCAGCCTGCAAGAAAACAATATGGTTTAATTTTCAATCAGATGAAACTTTCTTTAAAAGTTTGTATCTCCTGCTCTGTAAATTGAACTTTAATTGCACACATGAGTCTCCTGCAGGGTCTAGCAAGCTATTAAAGCATGAGATAAGAAATTCTAAATTAAACATAATTTGCAATAAAGGAAGTGTAAACATTAAACATTTCTTTACAGGAAGTGTTTAGGAACGATGCTTAAGTCAAATGCAAGTAGGTGTGGCTAAGGCTGCATAAACTATATAATAAATGGCAGAGAATTAAACAGTAAGACTGCAGGGGCATGTGCTATACACTATAACTAATATATATATATATATGAACAGTTTATAGGTTATTTTAATGTTTTACCCGATTGTGTAAATTCCAAAGCATTCTCCCTTTAAACGAAACGTTTACACATTTTTTTTATATATATAAAAAAAAAAAATCCTTTAAATTCTATAATTTAGACTAAAGAGTTGTACTTACTAGAGATGATCACATTTTTCCATCTTTTGTCATGTGGATATTCACAAACCTGCAACTTGCAATATACAAAGAACATAAGAGATAAATGCATGCATCTTTTATTTTTAGGATAATTAAACTCTTTATCATAGGTAATGGGGAAAAACAAAAAAATTCTAATTCTGCAGAATTTTTTTATTTAGACATCACTAGTCCAGTAACTGGACCCCGACAGTTAAGTAGGGTGACAATAGCAGAGACATAGTAAATACTGCATTCTGAAGGTTTTCTATCCATGCTATATAGCTCAATTGCAGGCAGTATGCAATAAACCGGATGACAGACCCACACTAAAATTAACTTTACACCCGAGGTCTTCCTGATATCTTAGCTTGTTCCTCCTGCATACGTCTATATCTGTTACAAAGTATTCATATGAAAAAAATCACCCCTTTGTAGTTATCAATAAAAAATGTCCTGTGATTTATACAAACAGAGAACACTAATCTCTTTATTTAATTCAGATAATACTAGATTACAGAATATAATTTTTTGCATTGCCTTTCAATAGTAATTAAGACAGATGTATCAAATTCAGTAGCAGACTGCTCACGTAATGGAGCCATTTTTTTTCTTCTTATCTTATGGGCTCAGCCGGTACAATCATTAACAGCAGTTTCCAAGGCAACAGCTATAATTTGAATAGTGATGCAATATGTTCACTTGCACATTATACCAGTCAGCTTTACACTGCTGAATAAAAGAAAGCATTAAATGTTTGTCTAATGGACAAATTATTACATTTATTATTCTTCGCAATTTTAAAATAAACACCACAAAGACAGATGTTTGTCAAAATCTATAAAATGAGACGTGTGGCAGGTTTTGAGTGATTTGATGCTAATGTGTATGGCTGCCTTATTGTACATTTACTTACCACAACCAATGCTTTATTTCTTGACACTTTCAATTACTTTCAGGGTGAACAAAACAAAAAAAACACATTTTATCAAGGGCTTGCAAAAGCAAAAAAATCAAAAAAATAGAACCCATGAAAAACAAAGGTATTAGAAAGCAGCTTATTAAACTGAATTGGATAAATAAAAGTGAATAACAAATTTAAACTGTGGGGAGCGGGGAGCATTGGAAGCAACCCCTTTCATAGAAACGTAGGTTTATTTAGAAAAGTACAGTATTAAAAAAGTTGCCTGACTCTGGATGTCCCCATTCTCGTGAGGCTTCAAAGTAAACAAGAGCAAATTTATTTTAAGGAGACGTGCATTTGCATATAACCAATGTTTCAGTCCCACTACCGTGACATATTAAGAAAAGTTTGGTAATGGGACTGAAATGGTGAATGTATGCTGTTGCACAGTTGTGAAAAATCTAATGACGTTATCTTGTTGATTTTTAAGTTCTATGAGTGTGTTCTTCACTTAGGCTGAGATCATCAAACTTGATGACCTCAGCCAATCCAATGCTTTCCCTTAGGAAAGCATTGGGAGGCTATTGTGCATGTGTGGCAAAAAGCGGCGCAGCCTATTGTTGGGGAACATATTATGATTATATATATCTGATTAATATGGGCTTGATTAAGTCTGTGTGTATGGGAGACCAGGAATTATCTTCAAAGGGAGTTTCTGTTTAGATAGTTGGAAAGATACAGCACCTGAAAGGCACCGATCACATTTACATATCAAAGGAGTCTCTATCTAGGAAAACACACCTTAGGTTAGAGGCAAAGGGGGTTAACACTTAAATAAAATAACAGGATAGACAACACTTTGGGCCTTGGGAAAGTAAATTACATTTACATATCAATTGAGCTAAGGAATTTGCTATTTACAGCATGGGAACCAATTCATTTAAAAATAGAAGATACTGAAATCACATGAGATTGGGGTTTGGTAAGACACACATGCTGCACATAACATCTAACAGCACATACACAATGTAGCAGATATTATTAGATAGGTGGAATGTATGAGTGTTATGAATGTATTTTAACTATAACTCTGTAACATTCTTCTTTTGTAATATTTAACTGGGCAGATTCTAAGTAAAGATTTCTCTCTGGTAAGAACTATGGTGTTGGCTGTTTATTTGTAATATCGGGTAGAATACCTTAGTAGTGCTAGTCATATATTTATCTGGACAGGGTGATAAAGATATATGTTAGTTCTTGGAAGAGGTGACACCGGGATATTACATTCACTATTAATACACAACACAGAGTGGATTTCTCTCGAAAGGATACCAATTGAAAGGACTGGTGGTGAGAGAAGAATTATACAACACCTATCAGCATCTCCATTGGGAGGGCTCAGCGCCTCCATGCAGACCCAATTCAATACACACCTCCCCCCCCATTCTAATACACTACCAACAAATTTAATACACTGCCCACAAATCCAATACAGTGCCCCCAACTCCAATACACTGCCCCCCTCCTTCCACTCGTATACACTGCTACCTCCACTCAATCTAATACACTGCTCCTTCCCTTCCCCAATTTAACACACTGCCACCCCTTTTCACCACTCTTATACACTGCCCCAAAGCCAATTTAACACTCCCCTCCTCCCACCACTCTAATACACTGCCCACTACCTCCTCCAATTTAATACACTGTCCCGCTCACTCCCCCAAATTAATACACTGCCCCCTCCTCCCCAATGTAATACACTGGCCCCCCCAATTTAAACACATTATTCAGGAGGGTCCTACGAGCCCCTCTTCTCCTACCTTAAGATGAGCCGCCAATCCTCCAGCCCCCCTGCTGCGATCACATGGGTATTTTACTTGCCCCCCCACCCCCCCAAAAAAAGCTTGCTGCAGCTGGCCCACCTCCATAGCTGAGATTATCAATTACCAATCAGCATCTTCTCATAGAGATGCATTAAATCAATGCATCTCTATGGGGGAATGTTTAGCGCCTCCATGCAGAGCTTGGAGACGCTGAATGTAGGCGAGATCGGAGACATTGAAAATGCTGAGGCTATACATACAAGAACAAAGATAAAGCACCGCGCTTACAGCAGCAACAGCTTAGTATACAACAGCTTAAAATACATAGTAAAAACAAAGAGAACATTACCTGCGCTCTGGCCTAAATACCCATGTACATTTAAACAAAATGGAGGCTCTTTAGTTTTAGTCCAATGGCCATTTGAATATATCAGCTCACCTGCCACGTCAAGGCAAGCCTCAATAGGTGAGTCCTACACTAGCAATTAGATATGCTGATATCAGCCAAGAATCTCCACTAAGACAGGAAGGGGTATTTTATATACCCTTTCACATTTAACCCTTTATAGGGCTTCTACACATACAAAAAACTTTGCTGGTATCAGACAAAGTGTAAACATCTCTAATGAGACATGAAGGGGTATTTTATAAACCCCTACATACTTAAAATAAAAGAAAATGTACACAAAGTGGAAGAAAGAAGAGATAAGCAGCTCAAGTACACCTAATAAGTGGTATCCCCTACACCACTATAAATACATAAAAACATACAAAACAATAAGCGAAGCCGCATAAAATTTATTAATTGAACATTTTATTGGACTTTTATTGCAATTTACTTTTAACCAGCTGATTCTGGTATATCGAATATATTTTTTATTGTAATAAAATCGCTTTTCAAAAAGGACCATCTGAATATCTGATATTCCTTGGGAAGACCTATTAAAGAAACACAAGGGGAAACACTAAAGAATCCGGCAACAAAAGGGTCAGGACAACCCCCAAATAGTCCAAAGAAGCATACCCTTAGAGTCATATGATGATATGACTCTGGTCTTGTGAGTGGAATTATTTTTCTTCTTACTTTATATCACTGTATAGACATACTACGCTATTTTGTGTATATTCAATTTTGTTTTACAGATTATTCAAGATTTGTATCTCTACATACTTAAAGGACCACTCTAGGCACCTAGACCACTTCAGCTTAATGAAGTGGTCTGGGTGCCAGGTCCATCTAAGGTTAACCCATTCAGAGAAACTGCTATGTTTATGAATGGGTTAAGCCTTCCCCCAAATCCTCTAGTGGCTGTCTCATTGACAGACGCTAGAGGCGCTTGCGTGATTCTCACTGTGATTTTCACAGTGAGAGCACGCAAGCGTCCATAGGAAAGCATTGTAAATGCTTTCCTATGCGACCGGCTGAATGTGCGCGCAGCTCTTGCCGCGCGTGCGCATTCAGCCGACGGGGAGGAGGATCGGAGGCGGAGAGCTCCCCGCCCAGCGCTGGAAAAAGGTACGTTTTAACCCCTTTCCCCCTTCCAGAGCCGGGTGGGGGCACCCTCAGGGCACTATAGTGCCAGGAAAACGAGTATGTTTTCCTGGCACTATAGTGGTCCTTTAATCATGAATAGGGCTATAACACATACAAATCACCTTGCTGGTATCAGCTAAAAGGCAAATTTCTCTGATGAGACAGGAAGGGGTGCTGACCCAACATACTTATAAACTTTTACCAAGACAAACGTGGGGAGGCTGGCAGCAATGTAACATAGCTGTGTGATACAAAATTCATATACAAACATAAAGATAAAGCACCGCGCTTACAGCAGCAGCAGCAGCAGCATAGTATCCAACAGCTTAAAATACATAGTAAAAACAAAGAGAACGTTACCTGCGCTCTGGCCTAAATCCCCATGTACATTTAAACAAAATGGAGGCTCTTTAGTTTTTTTAGTTGTATGTGTAGAAGCCCTATAAAGGGTTAAATGTGAAAGGGTTTATAAAATACCCCTTCCTGTCTTAGTGGAGATTCTTGGCTGATATCAGCATATCTAATGGCTAGTGTAGGACTCACCTATTGAGGTTTGCCTTGACGTGGCAGGTGAGCTTATATATTCAAATGGCCATTGGGATAAAACTAAAGAGCCTCCATTTTGTTTAAATGTACATGGGGATTTAGGCCAGAGTGCAGGTAACGTTCTCTTTGTTTTTACTATACATACAAGAGCCACTACATTAAGTAGTGGTTCTAGTTACTCTAGTGTTCCTTTAACAATTTTATTTTTGTAGTTGAGAAAAAAAAACTGTCTTTTTTTTAGCTGGCTCCTAGACAAATATGTCAAGCCCTGGGCCTCTGGCACACATTGGGAGGTATTGCTGTACTCAGATGTAGCTGAGCAGGATTAGTTTTTTTTATCACAGTGGCTCACATATTTATAAAATACCTATCAAAAATACAATGTGCTTGTTAAATTTTTTTTATTTTTTTTTAACAATCTGCTATAATTTCCAAAAATGAGTTATAAGCCCATCAAATCCATTTTAACTGTAAAAACTGAACTGGTCATGCCTCTTATGGCACTGTAGCTTTACAATATATAAATATATACTTTTGTGTAGCTATTTTGCTTCCAGTGTTTGCTATTAAATTTAGAAAACCAAGATACCGAATTCTAAAATTGTTAGAAGAAATTGTATTTTACTCCTTGTATTTTGTTACGTGTGACTAACCCAAAAAATTTATTTAAACCTCAAATAAAATATTTCTGGCACCTAGTGCACTCAGCCAACAAATGAGCACTTGTGTGTAGAAAAGGCACAAAAATAATATTAGCAAGCCTGAAAAATCTTGTTCTGGGCTGGCAAATGAAGGATGGAGTTACATCATCGCTAGATATTTCTGTATATATCTTGTGTTTCATACTGAAATGCTACATATACAGGGTCCTTGCACTACGATCACTTCAAAACACTGATATAATTAGAGTAAATGTTAAATTAACATAGCAACACATCCTTTGAAGGGATTAAGAAAATCCTCCAGGAATGATTAAGGGGGCACGTCCTTCTTCTACTGTTGTACTCACTTTATATTAACCAGAGCCTTTACATAGTAGACCTGCTTGGTGACATCTGCAAGTAGTACCTCAGATCCACAGGCTCAGATACCTCAGATACTATGGCCTTCCTGGGTCTCTTCTCTTGTGTCCCACATGTGGAAATTTTCTCCATCAGTGCAGGGCAAGTGCAACAGGTTTATATGCTTATTACCCTCAGCACTAACACCATGGATAAAGCATTTTGGGAGAGCTCGGTTTATGGTCTGCGCAGAGTTGGGCAAGCCAGGCCGCCTGTTTGACACGCCCTCTCCCACTTTACTGATAGGCCCAATCCAGAAACATAGAATGTGACGGCAGATAACCATTTGGCCCATCTAGTCTGCCCAATATTTCAAAATACTTTTAATTAGTCCCTGACCTTATCTTAAGTCTAGGATAGCCTTATGCCTATCCCACGCATGCTTATACTCCCTCACTGTGTTAACCTCTACCACTTCAGCTGGAAGACTATTGTTCACACCTTCTTCTAGAGCACCCTTCTGTCCATCACACGTCCATACTGCCCATCGTTGAGAGATATGTATCATCAGGTGTGCATTAAAGGGACACTCCAGACCCCTAAAGCACTTTAGCTTGCATAAAAGCTTTCTGTGTGAAGAGTGTGTCCTTTTTTTCCCCATTTTGGAAATAGTGCAGATTTCAGTAGAAATCAACACTTACATAAATGAACCTGGTTACACCTCCTGACTTTCAAGCAGACAGCAGGTCATGTTACTTCCTGGTTTGGGTAGCTCAGTGGGGCTAAACTCAAGAGGCATCAATTGGCCAGAGCACTTACCTTTCAAAGAGGTCTCATTGAGCTCCATTAGGAAGTCTGATTGGACAGACAAAGTCTGGGCAGGGTTATACAGGGAGGACTTGTAAAGGCAGCAGACGAGGATTTGCAAGCTGTTTTTAGATATAAACGCAGAGAAAATAAATGCATAATTAAATACATGCATGTCTTCAATAAGGGTAACTCTACTAAACAGTGATTATTTTGTATTTTGGGCAGTAAAGTGTCCCTTTAATATTACATGTGACAGTCTGATACTTTTAATACATATTTGAAAAAAAAATAAAAAGGTTGTCCCTTTCTTTTTGGTGTGCCCAGTCCAGTGCCTCAGCCATTTAGGAGTCTCATTCTGTTGAATAGGTATCCCATAAATGCCAGTTCAGCTCAGTATAATGGGATAAGTAGCTCAGCAGTTAATATTGCATATGATGAATGGAAATAATAACTAAGCTGCTGCCATCAGTTTAATGACAGATCCTTTAGCTTTGTGAATAAACCCTTCACATTGACTGACCAATTGTGTGACTGCACATGCATGCAGCCACTGCTTGGAATATATGCACACTGTAAAGTTGGAATATAGCTTTTTCATTTGATGTTTGGGACAGTAGTTAAGATGTAGCTTTCTGGGATGTTTGTAAAGGGAAGCTTGTAAAGGGACACTCCAGGCACCCAGACCACTTTTGCCCATTGGAGTGGTCTGGGTGCTAACTCCCACTACCCTTAACCCTGCAAGTGTAATTATTGTAGTTTTCATACACTGCAATATTTACCTTGAAGAGTTAAGTCCATCTCTAGTGGCTGTCTACTAGACAGCCACTAGAGGACACTTCCGTGTTCATAGAACACTAAAAAAAGTGTGTTATAACATCGCTGGACATCCTCACGCTATCCCCATAGGAAAGCACTGAAAACATTATTCAAGGCTTCCTATGGGGAGGTCTATTGCGCGCGCGCGCGGCATTGCTGCACATGCACATTAGGTCTCCCTTTTATTCCAGAAGTTTGGTCCTTAAGGGGTTAAAGGGACACTATAGTCAGAACCACAACAGCTTGATGTAGTTGTTCAGGCGTCTATAGCCTTTCAGTGAAAAGGCAGTGTTTACATTGCTGCCTAGTAACACGTCTAGTGACAGTCACTCAGAATGCCACCAGAGAGTCCTTGATCACTGCTGCAAAGTGTGCAGCACCCACATTCAGTGTCTCCAAGCTCTGTATGGAGGCGCTGAATGCTCCTCATAGAGAATCATTAATTCAACGCATCTATATGAGGAGATGCAGGTTTGCATATTTGCTGCACATGCACAAAATCCTCCCAATGCTTTCCTAAGGGAAAGCATCGGCTTAGCGGAGATCATAAAAGACTGATAATCTCAGCCATGGAGGTGGGACCAGCCGCGACAAAACTGGAACGGCGTTGGAAAAAAGGTGAGTGAGTTTCCCTAGGATCCAGTGGGGCTTTTCTCTCTTCCTGCATGCGACAGAGCAGTAATATTACTACAGTTTCTCTCTGCTCCCTCGCGCTTTGTAGTGATGCCGGGGCCGGAATGACGTCATATTCCAGCTTCCGGCATCATTAAACAGCGCAAGGGAGTAGAGGAGCTGCAAGAAGAGTACTGCTCCCTCGGCCGGACACCTACTTGCTTGGCTGATACAATATTCCTGGCGGCCACCCCCAAAGCTCCATAACTAAAGGGCCGGCAAATCCCAGTTGCCGGGGCAAAATTTCTAGTCACCATGCCGACCTGGGATTTGTTGAGCCCTGCACTATAGGCACACAGATCACTTCATTTCATTGAGTGGTCTGGGTGCATTAGACTGCAGGGTTAAGACAACCTCTAGTTGCCAGAGATGCTACCTGTTCTCTAACAGGAGTTTAACTCCTTGAAACGATGTGGGACATCCTCATACTTAGCTTTGGGACGTCTAATGTCTTCAAATTCCCAATAGGTAAATCACTGATTCGATATACTTGCTGCACATGCAAATTCCTATATGGAAGTATTGGGAGGCTAATATGCATGCAGGGCAAAACGTAGCACCATTCAGCATTGAATGCATTCTCGATGAGGAATGTTCATTGTGTAGCACTAACCCAGGAAGCACCTCTAGTGTTCATTTGAGTGACTGCCACTAAAGGTGCCTCAAGGAAGTAATGTCTGAAAAGGCAGTATTTACATTGAAGGCCTGAAGGGACATACTATGAACACCAACGCAACACGAAGCTGTTGTTCTGGTGACTATAGTGTTTCTTAAAGCATCCATTAAAGGAACACTATCGAGATGAAGTGTTCGGTGTGCAGTGGCCTCATCCTTTTAACTCTGCAGTTTTTGCTACTAGAGGCACTTCCACTGCACTGAATGAGTAAAACTTGGTCATGTGATGCGGAAGCGGAGAAGATTGAAGATTGGGTTGGACATCAGCAGAGAAAACACTGAAGGAGGAGAGGCAAGGGCTGAATGGGGCATACTATAGCGTTAGGAATAGATTTGCATTCATAATGCTATAGTATTCTATTAAGATGGTGATTTGCTATATAAAGCTATTGAGGACTAAAATTATCAGGCTCAACAAACCACTGAGGCAGACTAGACTGAATAGAATTACATTCCATATAAGCTACTTGTCTATTTCAGTTGTTGCTTTACTATGTCATTACAGCTGATGTATATGTCAACTCCCATCAAGCTCAGCCAGAATCTCACTAGATATGATTGGAGTTCTAGTTCCGAGGGGGAGGCAACTTTTTGACGGGGCGTAAATACCCAACTTGTGACTTTTTACCTAAGAATGTCAAAAATACTACACTGATTCATGTTTTTTTTTTTTATAAGGGAGTTGGAGAGTTAACCTCTTTAAGACCACATGACAGTCTATGCCGTCATACAGTGAAGGGCTTTAACGCTTGTTGACAGACTGACATGCATTAAAAGTACCCTTAGGGTTAAATCCCTCCTGGTATCAAGGAACACCAGGTATAATTTGATACTTAAGGGTCCCCTCTGTCAGCTGGGGCCCACACTTAGTGGCCCCAGACTAACAGAAGAGCTATGTGAGTGCTGCACATAGCCCTTTAAATCCATTTAAATACTGCAGCTGAGCATAATCGCTCAGCTACAGTAATTTTGTGCTTGCATCCAGCCTGTCAATTACTAAAAATCAGAGAACTCCAGGTGTCTTTCCATACCTTAGAGTTCCCTCTGTCATCAGAAGCCACAGTTAGTGGCCCTAGACGGACATATGAGCAATGCACATAACTCTTTAAATGACTGCAGCTTAGCAATCACACTAAGCTGCCGTCATTCTGAATCTACCACCATGATGAAGACCCCCAGGGTCTGAAAAGACACTAGTAAGGTCTCTATGCATGCCCCTTTACCAAGTGATCTGTCGTTGGCTTCATACTTCAATTACTCATAGAGCACTCTGTACTGTGAGAGCTGGAAAATCATTCTGTTGATTTCAGTACTGACATAAGCAGAAGAAATCCCTGAGGTATGATTAAGAGTTAGATTATGGGTAGCATTAGAGGAAGAGGTATGCATGTGGGTTACTCAAGAACAGTAGCAAAAAACAAACATGGAGTGCTTACAATAGTGGAAAGCACAAAAAAAATAAAATACTATTTTGACAGAGGTTCATGATAAAATGGTTACATAAGAGTTGTCAAAAATAGCCTGGGGGATGACCTTCCTACAAATATATACTTTTGTGTAGTGGTTTTGGATTCTGTAATTTTCAAGAAAAATTTGGCATACTGAGATGACAGCATTTATAATTGTCAAAGACTTGTTTTATAACCTCTCAAATTGATTGAAATCATAGACATATTCTGCATTTTAACAATCAGGACTAAATAGTGATTCTATTTTGAGGATTGTTTGTTTTTTAAATTGCACTTCGTGTCTAGAAATTATTAAAAGTAAAAACAGAAGAAACATTTATTTCTCATTTTTCCTTTAAAAATCATTATATAATAGGCATGGGTGCACTTAGAGAGTGTGAAAAGTTTGGGAGGAAGAACAAAGATAGGAAAGATTACGCTAACTAAACCCAGTGTTTATGAAAATACTGTGTTTTGGTTGCAGTAACCGTTTGAGCATGCTTATCAGCATTGAAATGATAAGTGGAAGGATGTCCCCGGGTGGTTGCTTACCTCAAGGGGTTAAACCACTAAAGAATGGCTTAACCATAGTGTTTAAATCGCCCATAAGTTCTTCCCCTGTACTTCCATTGCAGTCAGAGGCTTGAATCAGGAATCCTTGGACTGGGAGTCGCTTAAAGAATCAAAGCGTCAGCTGACAATCTCATAAGTCCCTATTCACAAAACGGAGTGAAGAGATTAATGGTTTAACCTCCTTGAGGTAAGCCGGTTCTCAGGAACTCCTTGCACCACAACAACTTCAATCCAATTAAATGATGGTGGTCAGTGTCCCTTTATTTGATGTGGTGTGCCTAAAACAGGTGGGGAGCTGTTCATTCCAAAATAGAAATTAGTGGGAAGCACTGAGGTCTAACATATACCTAAAAGGCTGCAACTTACACTTGGATCCACTGTCCAGCACTAATGGTAACAAAGACTTTCTGAAGGTGTGCTAGGTCACTATTTCTTTGTAACAAAGAGAGGTGGAAACCAAGGCATGTCACACTAAGATACTGAGATGAAGCCAATTTATATAAATGCATGACATAAGACCACCAAGTACACAAAATAGGCAGAGCTTGACCAGGATTATGATCCACTTCCAAATGTCATTGTAATCAAGCCTCATTCGTGCCTGAATGTAGTTCTCTTTAAGCCAATTTGCCTTACTGTCTCATCCGATGTATATTTTATATGACCACCTCAGAAAATAATTTTCACACAGAATGGTAGGAATTGGAGTCTAGCAGGAGACTGTTACTTCTTGCACTCAATTTCATGGAACATGAAGTTGTTGGTGATTATGGTTTCATCCCTGTGACCTCTGCAACAACTAGGAAAAGCTGAGGTGTAAAAAAAAAAAAAAAAAGTATTACTTGTTTCTTCATTCAGCGTTGGGGTTAAAGTTCCAGAGAGAGAGTGATAAAGTGTGTTTAACTCTCCCAACCAACCATGATCTGCATTGCCACCCGAGAAAAGTGGCACAGTACAAATAAGTGCAAAGAACAAAATGCCAATAGTAATCAGGGAAATGGTCCAAATGCACATCTTTCTGCAATACAATAGTTTTGCATCTTCTTGTGTGATTTAAATGTCGGTGGCTGAAACGTCTCAGGAAACAAAAGTGCAATAATATAAGCGGAACAGTCATTCCCACTTTCTAGTTGATTCTGTTCAAAATCTATTTTTATGTCAGGTGATTAATGTTGTTGGGCTGCTCTACTTAATTATAAGAACAAGACCATCCCAATTCAAATTTGTTTTGAATGGATGAGCCACTTCAAATTCTGCATATTTTAAAATATTAAGATTGTTTCTTTTTAATAAAAAGTCTAGAAAGTGCATTCAAAATTGGGGTCGATTAACATTTAAATAAAAAGAACCACCAAAGCCACTTCATCTAAAATTAAGTGGTAATAGTGGCCAGAGTCCATTGGTCCCTTCTTACCTTCATTTGTTAAATCTTTTTTGAACAGTATATGTGCAAATGCGGTTTCCTCTCCTATAACGCTACATCTACTAGAGGTGGAGTTAAAGAGATTCTGTAGCGCCAGGAAAACAAAGCCTTTTTTCCTGGCACAGTAGAATCCTACAGTGCCCCCCTCCCTCACGGCTGAAGGGGTTAAAACCCCTTCAGTCACTCACCTGAATCCAGCGCAGATGTCCCTCGGTGCTGGGTCAGGCTCCTCCCACGCTGAAGTCAGCCGGCAATGGCCGCGCTCGCATTAGGATTTCCCCATAGGAAAGCATTATTTAAAGGATCACAAACATGTATTCCTTACCCTGTAGTGTTAAAACCACCATCTAGCCGCCCTGGGCCCCTCATGCTTCCATAAATATAGTAAAAATCTTACTGTATTCAAGCCTGAAGCTGTAACTCTGCATGCTGTTAGACTCAGAAAAACAAGCAGTCTGCTGACATGATCAGAAGTGGTAGCCTGATCCAATCACAATGCTTCCCCATATGATTGGCTGAGATTGACAAGGAGGCAGAGCCAGCATGATTTAAACACAGCCCTGGCCAATCAGCATCTCCTCATAGAGATGAATTGAATCAATGTATCTCTATGAGGAAAGTTCAGGGTCTGCATGCAGAGGGACGAGATACTGAATGTTATGATGCATTTTAGGCAGCCATGACCCAGGAAGGATCTCTAACAGCTATCTGAGGAGTGACCAGTGAAGTTATCACTAGGCTGTAATGTAAACACTGCATTTTCTCTGAAAAGTCAGTGTTTACAGCAAAAGGCTTGAAGGTCATGATTCTACTCATCAGAACAAGTTCAATAAGCTGTAGTTGTTCTGGTGACTATAGTGTTCCTTTAATGCTTTCCTATGAGGAAAAATAAATAAAAATCTTACGCTGGAGGACGTCCAGCATCAGATAACGGACCTATGGTCCATTTCAATTCCGAAAGTCCCTCTAGTGGCTGTCTGGTAGACAGCCACTAGAGGAGGAGTTAAACCTGCAAGGTAATTAGTGCAGTTTCTCAGAAACTGCAAGAAGTACCACTATAGGGTTAAGGGACATTGCACCAAGACTAATTCAATGAGCTGAAGTGGTCTGGGTACCTACAATGTCCATTTAACCCTGCAATGGTATTTATTGTATTTTCTCAGAAACAGCAATGTTTTACATTGCCAGGTAAACAGACAAGGTCACTGCATCCAGACCGCTTCAATGAGATCTTCATCTTCATGGTCCGGGTGCTTATACTGTCCCTTTAAGGATGATCTACAGTATGTTCTGTTCTGGGAAGCAAAAAGAAGCCTATTATTAAAGGAACTCTCACGTCTTACAAATAAAAATATTTCTTTGAAATTCTGGGATGTTTTAAGGACCATTAGATTCGTGGGCCTCCCTAACGACATTAAAAGTGTTAACTTACCTCTAAACCAGCAGAGCTTCACCCATTGGGAAAGCATTACAGACCATCTCCAGCCAATAGAATACATCTCAGAGAAGCATTAGGGAGCATGCATGGCAATCTCTGTGCTGCACCTGCAATAATCCTCATGAAGTAGTATCGAACTAATGCTTCTTTATAAGAAGCATAGTCTTCCAGTTGGAGCTGTGGCAATCAGGAAAAGCACCCTGCCTGCTACCTGACAAGAGTGCAACATCTCTCTTAAAACCAGCAGTTCGATAAAGTGACAAAGAGGGAATACTTCATGGCCCTGTAAATGAGACATCCATTGAAAAGTTGTGCTGGGGCAAGGCAAGGGTTCATCCACGATAGACAGTGCAGGTTCCTGCATAAGAACTAACAAAAGCATTGTGAACATCATCTTGTCAGTCTGACAGCTCAACACAGGAGAATTTCTCATCAACAAGTCAGGCAGTTATGAAAACTAAAATATGGAAACGATCACTAGTATTTAGCTTGTGTTCCGTGACCACAGAAATTAGACATACCGTGGTCTATTTTGTTAAAAGCTTTACAAATAAAGAAAAAAATATATATACCTTGGGTATAGTTGAATTGAAAATTAAAAGGGACACTATATAGCCACCAGAACATTTACAGCTTAATGTAGTTCTGGTGTGTGTATAGTATTCTCTGCTGGCATTTTAATGTAAACACTGCTTTTTCAGAGAACAGTGTGTGTGTGTGTGTGTGTGATGGAACCATCTATCATCAACTTTGAATAGTTTAGGCTATCTTCCATAGACTTCAGTGTTGCACGCATGTTCACACATAAGAGTACAACAGTAACACAGGTTCCTGGTGGATGTAGTACCAGAAACTGAATTGAAGATAGCAGTGCTGACAAGAGAGAGCCTCGGGTAAATATACATTTCACTTCTTTCTCTCTCTCTGCAGACACTGCACAGAGAGTGGGCATGTCATGTTTTGGAGTCTCAGCAAAAACCTTGAAAGAGAGTTTTAAAGAGGTACCATAATCACTATTGCTCACTTTTAAAGTGCGTTTGACAAGAACTAGAAATGTCAGCAATGATGTATATGGTGATTTGGCCACACCAATTTGTTGCTGGTCCTTTCAGTGTTGAATTAATAAAGGAAGCATAACTTTGTTGGCATGTCCATATCGTATACTCCAGCTCCCCCGACACAATACATGCTCAGACCATAAAATAAATGTACATTTTTTTTTTTTTTTTTTTAAATCGACGTATCTCAAATTAAACTTGATCAGGACAGGCTACGTGGTGGGCTTTGGGGATTCTTTCATTTTGTCAAACCAATTAAAAAGCAATTTAATAAAAATATGAGGGACTTTACCATAGTGTTTATGGTGCCTGGAACACATCTGTAAGTCAAAGAAGCAATTCCCAAAGTACAAGATCTACAAGCAACCATGTAAATGGTAGTCAGAACCATGAATGGGATTGATTCACACAGAATAAACATTTATCTCCCACTGCTTATTAAAACTTCCAAGTAGTTTATTGGCGGACAGTTAAAGTGCACCTATTAATATGACATCAGATGTGTAGCTGCAGAGCTCACATTGTCTTGTAAGAAACTGCTTAGACATTGGTTGGGTCTAGAAATATAGCAAAACATGAAAAAACCTAACCGGTTTACCTGGGGGAAAGTATCTAGAATACATATTACTATTCTATTTAACTTCTCAAAAGGTAAATGGACATTCTAATAGATTTACTTAATAGGACATTAAAGTTTACCAAGACCACTTCATCTCAATGAAGCGGTCTGTGTGCAGAGGCCCTGTCCTTTTAACCCTGTTATGTAAAACATTGCAGTTTCTTTTAGAAACTGCAACATTTACATTGCAGGATGAAATCCATCTTCAGTGCAAGTTTTCCACGGCACTGACAGTAAAACTCAGTCACGTGACACAGGCCATAGGAAAGCACTGAATGTTTTCCTGTGGGGAAGGTTTGATGTGTGCATTGCGCTTGACATGCACACCAGGTCCCTAATGCTCTACTGAGAAGCATCGGACGCTGAAACATCGCCATAGGAGACCATGCCTAAATGACGTTTCGGGAAGCAAAAAGGTGAGCATGGTCAAGAGGGTTTTGGTGCTTGGGGAGGGAAATAAAAAAAAAAAAAAGATTTAAAAAAAAAAAAAGTTAGGGTGGCAGTGGTACTATTTTTTTTAATAGGAATTCCTAATGTTATATTGTTCTCTTAAAAATTCTTATTTCTAGAACTGAATGTCACTACCAGTTCAAACCTGTTAAATCATTTAATACTGTAAAAATAAGCAGTAAAACCGTCCATTATGTTCTATACAGATATTTTGTAGACAATATAAAGATAAGTGTCAGTAAATTATAAGCTGTGACCAGGAAGTAAGAGGATAACAAAATTACCTACTATATAAAATATATTAGACAATGTTTTGCAGTTTTCTTTCCCCAAGAGCCACCTTACCTTTCTGCAAGAGATATCCATGGGGACACACCTTTCAAACATAATCAGGGCAGCAGTTTCAGATAGATATTCACCTGATCCCTAGCAGCAACAAGCCCATGTTGATGAAGTCACCTCCTCTTCTGTGCTTCCATCCGTTGGATGGCAAAAATCGTAGCAAATGATCTCATTGGCTCTGCCACTGCTGCATCCTGACCAAGAACCACAGCCAGATCTCAGAAGACAATGTGCTGCAAACTTTATTCCTCTTCTTGGGCTGCTCTCATTGTGTCACTCACAAATGCTCCTGCTGCAATACTTTGCACCCATGAACAAGTAATTGACTTCAACCATAGAACAACAAAGGTGCAAAACCTAGCCAGGTGGACACAGCAGCTAGAGCACAATTTGGTCTCAAAGTTGGATCCAAAGTATTCATGCTTTGCCTTACAGTGAGAGACGTATGGAACAAATTGTGGTTCCTGATGCTAATGTAAAGCCCAGTGTGAATGCACATCCAGTGTGTTACAGTGCCTCTATCCCCTTGCCTCAAGGATGATCAATGAAAAGGGAGAAATGAAACTCCGGTAACCCACAGAAACTCTTCTCCTTAGATCTAACACCCATCACTGTAAAACTGTGCTCAGATCCCAGAAGCAGGTGGCTCCTCAATTTGTTAACAAGGTTTAGTGTAAAAAAAAATTTAATTTTAATTTATTACAATCACTAGGCTGATTGTTTTCTTTGGTGTGAATTCTGCTGCAAACGATACGTGATATAAAAAAAAAAAATTCAAACTTCAAATTAAAACCAAATTAGGATTTTGATGAACAAAACAAAATCAAATGCTTTAACTGCGGCATCTGTGCTCTTCAAAAGCAGTGGTGTCAGCATCAGACATGGGACGACAGGGTCAGAAATTTCTGCTTCTTGCAAAAAATAAAAATCCCTCATAAGGTGAAGGAGCCGCCAAAAGGCCCGTTCAATGCAAATATAATGGACACTGCAAACACTTGATCTTCCTTTGGTAAACGTAAATAAAAATAAACAAAAAAGGTAAAAACAAAGTTTAACAATTTTTTTTTTTTTTTTTAAAGTAAAACAAAACGAAAAACTTAAGATGAACACGTCAATGTTTTGGTTTTTTTTTTTTTTTCAACGGCTTGTAGATTATGAAATATTGCCTTTGTTCTAATAAATCAAGCATTTAGGAACAGTACCCTTAAGCTGCAAAACAAAAGGGTAGTAAGGTTTGTCGTCAATTTACTTCCAGGCAGAAAGACATTTTCCTCAAAAGAAACAATTTATTGAGAATGAAACAAAATCAGGTCAACTGTGTGTATGCTTTGTATGACCACTTAAGTTATGTGAGCCAGAAAGGGGTACTCCTCACTTTCCAGAAATCTTGTGTGTACAGCACAAAGTAACGAAGTCAAGACGTTTTTCACTTAAAAACACGGAAACTGGCATCACAATAGCAGTTACACAATATTCATATATAATCTTTTTTTAAACTGCCAATTTTAGTAAAATGTGCATGTACTAAACAAACACTTTTCCATCAATTTTCCTCTCGTTAAACAGCCCCTTGAAGATTAGAATCCTCTTTTCTCAGTTGCCAGCTGTAAATTTTTGGGGGAAAACACGGTTTTAATATTAAACAAGTGAAATCTTAATATACCCTGACATGAGTATTAAAAATCAAAAATATATAACAGCCAGAAATTAAGTGTTTCAACAAGAAGTCTGCTTTGTATATACTCTGCACCAATTTTATCCAAAAAAGGATACACAAACCATCCATGCAAGTCAAAAAGAGTTACTATGCACTGTATAAGTGTAAACATATATAGTGTGCTTTTATACAAAAACACACACATGCATGGTACACTTTATTCACACACTTACATCAATGCTATTGAGCTTTAATGTTGCCATTCATCTGACAGTCACAATTTAAAAACTTTTCCATATTAAATGGACACAAATGTCACCAAAACAACTTTAGCTTAATGAGGCAGCTTTAGTGTATAGATCATGCTACTGCAGTCTCACTGCTCAATTCTTTCATTTTGGAGTTAAACCACTTTTGTTTCTGTTTATGCTGCCCTAGCTACACCACCCCAGGAAAAAAAAAATGTAATAAAAAAAATAAATACAAAATGATTTAATTTGCAATTAGATGTTAAATTGTTTTAGAAGTTTATATCCAATATTGTAAAGCGCTACGGAATCTGTTGGCGCTATATAAATGGCGATAATATCTCCTACTCTGTAAACTGAACTTTAATCACACACAGGAGGCTCTTGCAGGAGATATAAAGGTTCTAAATTAAACATAATGTGCAAGAAAGGAAGTTTAAAAATTAGATGTCTCCTTACAGGAAGTGTTTAGGAAGGCGGTGCAAGTAAAATGCAGGGAAGTCTGACTAAGACTGCATAAACAAGGTGATTTAACTCATAAATGGCAGAGAATTGACCAGTGAAGCTGCAGGGGCATGCTTTATATACCAAGACTGCTTCATTAAGTTAAAAGTTGTTTTGGTGACTATAGTGTCCTTTTTAATGTAGCCTTCATTAAACCCAAATGATATATTAAATGCTTGTGCTCAAGAGAGTAACAATGTCATACTGTGGTACTGTTGCATTTTAGAACAGACTTAATTTGCAGTTGCAAGTGTCAAAAGATTTTTCATAAAAGGGCTGAAACATCTACTGTAATTATAACAGCAATTCTGGCTTATTGACTTTAGATAGTACTGTTACCCAAGTACTGTTTAAGGTGTTTGAGCAAAGCATAAAATACACAATTTCCCTCTCAATCTATACATTTAGTTTCTATATAACTAAATAATCTACAGGTCTCTTCGTAACAAGACAGTCATGTCATAATAGCATTTGTCCAAATCTTCTCAAAAAGAAGATATGCTGTACACTAGGACTTTTGGTGTCATGCAGGGAGCTAAGGGATACTGAACATTTGTTTACAAAGATTAATATGTTTTTAAATGTTTTTTCCCTCTGCACTTATCAAGGCATAGATATATATGGAATCCAAGTCACTTCACCAGCTCAGTGATGAATCTGTTCTCTCTCTCGCCTGGCTATCAGGTACATAACCAAAATGGGACTGCCATAAAATGGTAAAAGAATAAATGTGTTGACGTATGACTTATAATGTGTTAATGCAAGCAGATTAACACATACCATTAACGAAATTGACAAGTCATGTTTGTTTCAAATGTTGATAAACGTACTGCATGTCATTTTTACATTACATGAACATTCACACTCTAAATAAAAAAAATGCCTAACAATCATGATAAGCAGGAGAGAGGTTGCAGGGGTAACATCAAACAGTCTATTACTAGACTCCCTCCATAGTAAAATTCAGATATTCGTGGTCAGAGAGAAGTAAATATCCATGCTGAACAGTGGACCAAAGTCAGATTAAATGTATTACTCATCTGTGATCCCTAGTAGATAGCAAAAGGAAAAAAAATGTATATTAAAAAAAAATTATAGATATCCTTTTAAGTTCGAAAAAAAGGCTTCAATACAGCTTTTTGAGGCATGTCTAGGATCTAACCTGAAAGGAGATCGCTCAGAGACCATCTGAAGTATCTTGTGCATACAAAAAGGCACTTGAGAGGAATTGCATGTAATACACTTTCATTCTAAAGTAAACTGCTGCCACACAACACTCAAACAGTACACTATATACAATCTCATTGTGGGTGTCATTGGTGCAGAATAAAAAGCAAGATTTCCACTGAAAACAGAAAGAATCTGCTGTTGAGTATGAAAAAGAAAAAAAAAAAAAAACCTGATATTGTTAAAGTATAAATGCACTAAGTACAGTTTAAGCACAGTATACAGAAATAAACAGATTTAATCCACTGCTAATCACTGGAATTACTATGCAACAACCATGCAAAAAACAAACAAAAAAAACCCAGAGCATTTCAGATTTCAGATGACTAGATATACTTCCACAGAAGAGGGACATTTTATAAATTGTGTACAAAGGTTCTAGTATAAGAATATACTCTATTAAACATGTGTAATATTACAGAACCTTGTCTGCAATAAATGATTGAAAAGATAAACCTGCATGAATTTATATTTTAAAGCAAGGTTTATGAACCAGTTTCCTGTGCTACTTTCATGTCATGTTAATTTACGGAGCATATACCTTGAGACTCCAATATTTTACAACACAAACAATCCACTTTTAGATTAACATTTAAAGAAAAAAGAATTATGGGAAAACAATATGTGTCTACTTTGATAAGGGAAGGGAAAAAAAATAAAAAATAAAGTAATACTAAAGCTTCACGGATCAGGAAAATGTAAAGGGCTAGGTCATACAAAATTTTGATACACAGGGTGCATTTAACTTGCTGGATTTTACTTTGCCAATTTCACACTAAAATCATGCATTCTGGTTTGTAAAGATAGCCATATATTGTTTTACCATGTAATACATTTTTATGCATATGGGGGAAATAATTGCATGATCAAAAGCAGATGACGCACAATTCTACACATGCACAAGACAATGCTAGTTTCTTACATTAAGAAATTAGATATTCTCAAACATCTTGAATTCTGTTAAAAATAAACAGCAGGGATGCGTTAGTACAACAGATTGAAGCATGGGAATGTGTTTACTATACAAACTGGGCTTTTGAACCTTTACACAACTGGCTCCAATCAAATTAACATGAAAACATTTGTTATATGAAGCACCACTAATTTGCATTCTAGTGTAAGCACAACATATTGAGGTTTTTTTTAAACTGTTTCTTCAACATTTACCAGTCACTTCTACAAACCTTGACTGCATTATGGGATACAGTGATACTAACTGACAAACTCAGTTAAAAATATCTGCAAACATACAATGCCTTTCACATTACCAACAGGAGAAAACAAAAGGTTATATATGTTGCAGTTGTCCAAGTGTTATATGGGAGAGGTAGTAAATAGCCATTTTAGAATTACTAAAGTATTTGACTGCAGTGGCTTGAAAGTCGAGAGCTACAGAAGAAATTTTGCTACTAGGAAACATCACTTAAAGCAAAAGAAAAAAAGTCACTTGAATAACAGTGTTAAAACAAAATAGCATGCATAACTTTAGGAATGTACTGTAATTTATAAAATTATCTATATATATAAAAAAAAAAAAAAACACCTTTTTGGAAAAAAAAAAATAACGGTTTTTCAGGAAGGAGTAAAACCAACTTTAATGTTAAATCGACTGTGGAATAATTGTGTGATGGCATTTTCTTATTACTCCCCTGGGACAAATAGAAAAAAAATGCCCAGGCTCTGCAATAAAAGATGATGCTCATTCTTGCATTAGGTATGTTATAGTACAGACTAACCATTAAAAGGGTGGACATTTGCTGCAGTAAAAAAAAAGTGCAAAGCTGGCATGCAGACTACACTAACTGCAAAGATGCATTTGGAGGAGACATGCCAATGGATCTTTAGCATACGGACATGTTTGCGGAATCCCATATTGCCTCCCTTGTAGGCTGCACACAAGTGGTTTTACACTAAACCCAAACGTTAGCGAATTGAAAACCAAATGTCAAAATTAAGGTTAAAAATAGAGGACGTTTCCAAATCTGGTGTTTTGTCAGATTTCAATTAGCTAACATTTGGTGTTTAGTGAATTAAACTTTGGTGGCCATCTTGGGAAAACAGAACTTAGATGCAACTATATTTTAAGATGCACATCTAAATGAATGCATGAAGAACACCATGTTATTCACTCACACACACAAAAAAAAAAATATGAAACATCCAGGGTCATAAGAAAAATATAAAAACGCTTAAGTGGATGACAAAGCAGCTGTCAAGTATTCACTTTATACATTGCACTGTTAATATATACTAACTGCATGGGCAGTTGCCAAAACTCAGATGACAGAACATGGAACTCACAATAATGGTTGCATGCTAAGAAATATGGAACACCACAAGTCATTTTGGGACAAGCTGTTAAATGTGTATGTTTGACAGCATGGATACGGTTTCAAAAGGTGTTTGCTGGCACATTGTAAAGATGGAATTGAATTCTCAATAATGAGACATTTTGTCACAGCATCTCTGTAATGCATGTTTTTGATATTACAAAATAATTCATATACTTTGCATTACATGGGATGTTCTTTATAAATTATTTTTTTAAAGCCCTGAATGGTTCAGTTTTTTGCCAATTTCCAGTGAAATCAAAAACAAATAAACCAGAGGCTCAGTAACCTTAACTCCAGTTCTTTTTAGTGCTGTAGTTAAAAGCCTGTAACAGAAAAAAAGGCTTATTGAATATAAAATTAATCTTGTAGGTTATAGCTTGTCACCGTATCCATCAGGAAGAAAAAGCAAGCACATCCTAGACCAAATGGTTAGTGCTAACTTGTCATCAAAATAACTGATGGAGGGGTCAATTCAGCACAAGACACAAACTAGCTAGATTAGAGTATCTTGGCACAGTAATTGAAACACAGATGGAGCATGGGAGTTAGTAATAGACAAAATTAAAAAGCAAACATTTTTTTAAGTTCAGGTAAATGGAGTGCAATTCCCCAAAAGAAATTGGGCCTGCTAAAAAATAAAATAAAAAAAATTACTAAAATATGTTATGAGTTACAACCTACAAGATCTTTAGACAAACAAAATGGAATTATAATATATGAGACGTCTCAATATTCATAGAGATATTCTACATATCCATACAAATTTGCCATTAGATCAAAGCATGTATTAAGGCTACAACTAGCAGACAGGAAAATGTTGACTGAAGTACATAACTGATACCTAACCAGTATAAGACTATATATGATTTTCTTAACAGGGTACAGACTTCAGTACATAGACTGGAATACCAATAACAAAACTAAGATTATACTGTATCCCATAATACCTTGTGAACATGGTAGGTAAATACGAACATTGAATTAGGATGCCCCACGCACTATAACCATAATAAGGTAGTCTTCCTCTGATTTAGCAAGGGTTCTTGCTGATGAATCCAAAAACTGTTGGGAAAATTCACAAGGTGGGAAAGCATGTAGAACACCAGTGTGATCTTTGTCTTTATTACCCCCTACAGGAAGGCTTATGACACCAGCAGCCTGCTTTTGCTTTAAATAGGATACAAGGTTCCTCAGAGGTCGTTGAGTTGAGCTTGCTTGATCTCCAAGAGAACTATCCCCAAAGGAACCAGGAACAGCAAGCAGGATAGCATAGCCATTAGGCCCTGCCACTTTGATGCGTCGAGTAACTTCATCCAGCTTGGGCTGGTCGAGGCGCAGTCGTTGAGTAATCTTTAACTGGGCTACTTTTCCACCAGAAGTTCCTTCAACAAGCAGACTAGTTGCAACACCAAGATTTCCTTGTAGTAGATGCATGTTGGACGGAAAATTACTGTTTTTCAGAAGCAGCATACCTTGCCATGCCAAGCACAGTTTCTGTGGAACATCTTGTTTTTGAGGAGATTTAATTTTTCTACTTGGCTCATCCTTTTTTAAAGGACTTTTAATTTCCAGGTTTCTGTGCTTCCTGTCTCTTTCAACAGAGTTCTTTATGTCACGCCTGTCTACTTGGTTTCTGTCAATGCTTCCCCTTCTTTCTCTGGGTGGGGAAGGACGATCAGTTCGATTTGTTGCTCTATCAGTTTCACTATAACGGCTATCACGTCCTCCAGCGTCATCAGGAGTATGCTCTGGAGTAGCACAGGGTCTTTTTCTGGACCGATCACTCTCTGGAGACCTATCTAAATGACGACTTTCATCAATTAGCCTCCTTTTCCTTGGCTGATCTCGGTTTACAATATCTCTTTCACGATCTCGGTCCACAGACCAACCATCAACCCGACGGTCAATTGTTTCCAGAGCATCATATGTAGTTCTATTCCTGTCTCTGACAGATGGCGGTGCCCACTCATTGTCAGTATATAGTTCTCTTTCCCTGTCTCTGTATAAGACAGGGGGTGTGCGATTTGCAGGTCTAATAGGATCTTGAGCCCGGTGTCCAAATGAATCCCCAACCAAGTCATAATGGGGTAGTGATAACGGTTGTAGGTAGTGGTGCTGATAACGGATTTCTGTGTCAGCAAAATCGACTCGAAGCCTTCTGTGCTCGCCTCCTAAAGGAAATCCTCTCATCTGGGTACATGCAGCTTGAGCAGCATCCAGGCTTTCATACTGTATATAAGCCCAGCTGTCCCCTTTGCGGTAGTCAATATATCTGATGGTGCCAAACCTGTCAAATTCCCTTGCAAGGGCAGTCATTGGAACCCAGTGCCCCAGCCCCCCCACCCACAAGCGGTTGGTTGGCGTTGCTTTGCCATAGCCAATCTTTACAATATTACGCAAGATAAGTTTCCCAGACATGGCCATCTTGGCCCGGTGTGCCATATCCAAGTTTTCAAATTTGAGAAAGCCATAGGTAGAAGCTTGCCCTCGGACAGCCCTCTTTATATCCACTTCTGTTATGGTCCCAAAACGTTCAAAGGCTCTACGCAGGTCGCTCTCTGTGACGGTGACATCCAGGTTGCCCAAAAACAGAGTCCTGTTGGCTCTCTTGTCATCCTCTGGGGGGATCACCTCCTCCCTGAAGCTCAGGCGGGGCTCCAGCGGGTAGCTAGGCCGCACTCGGTTCTCATACACACCGTAGTCTCTGTCTCTATCCAAGTCTCTGGCCAGTGGGGGAGGGGGAGGAGGTAGCCGGCCCAGGGCGAGCTGCTGCAGCCGGTAGTCTCTGTATCCCAGGCCGGCAGGGGAGAGGCCTCGCTGGCCGGGCGGGTGCCGCTGGGCCGGCACGGTGCTAGGAATGGCGGAGTAGGGCTCCTTCACCCCGGGGGAGCGGCTGCGCCTCCTGTTGCCCCCGCCGCCGGTGTTCAGGTAGACGGCCTCGATTTTCAGCGGCCTGTCGTAAAGCACCAGCCTGCCGCGGGCGTGCTTGGCGGCCCGGGCGTCCTCCGCGCGCCTGAAGTTGACCAGGGCCACGCGCTCGTCCCCCGCGCGGGAGATCTTCACGCTGACGTCGCCGAACTTCTTGAACTCGTGGAAGAGACCGTCCTCCACCGCCTCGTCGCTCAGAGAGGAGCCCAGCTCGCTGATCCGCAGGGACTTGTACTCGGCCTCCGCCCCCCGGCCGCCCGCCCGGCTCTCCCCGCCGCCGCCTCCCTTCCCGCTGCTGCCGCTCCCGCTGCTGGCCCCCGGGGAGCCATAGCTGTGCAGGCCCTGGCCGCCTCTCCCGGGGGGCGGCTCGTACTCACGGCCGCCGGACAGGCCCTTGTCCAGGTGAAGGCCGCGGCGGCCCCCGCTGCTCTCCGAGGCCTTGGCTGTGGAGCTGCTGCCGTTACTGCCGACGGCCGAGCCGAGTTTCTTGCTGCCGCGGTCTCTGCTGGCTTCCTCTGCCCCCCGGGACCGCTTGGCCTTGGCCGGAGAACGCTCTTTTCCTTTCATGGCGATTTCTGGAGGGATCGTGTTCTTACAAACTACTTCCCGGCGCCATCTTGCCGGTGGTGCTAATGCAGAATCCGCCCTTCGCGCTGATTGGGTAGAGCAGAGGATGTTCTGGCTTGCTATTGGTTGGATTGGCTGTCACTCAAAACGGCTCGGGCAGCTACGGCTTACGTTTTCGATTCGTGCCTTTCCGGCACCCCTTCGTGCCCGGACACTAGTGCTGCAAGCTGTCATAGCTGTCATGTCCGCCAGGGGCAGTCAAGAGTAATGCAATTAGTAACACAATTCGGGTAAACATGGCTAAATCCTCCAATTCAGCCATGGTCACAGCTTGGCTGTTTTAGCCTGAATTTCTACCATTCTTTGGTTATTGGTACAGAGTTATTACCAGAGTGACAATTAGTGAATTTCATATTTAAGGCCAGAGTAGTGGAACAGAAAGCACAGCTGAATCAGAGACTTTCCATTACGTATATTTTGATTTAAGATTGGAAATGTACTTTGAATGCTCACCTTAGTGGATAACCTTATCATTGTTATTGATAAAAACCAAAAAGAGTGAATTGTTAGGAATTCAAGTTCTAGATGAAATTAGTAAACATTGTACAAGTGAGAATGGCGCTATATAAAAATGTTTTCAGCAGACTTCATTTTAGTGCATTACAATCAGAGGAAAAAATAGTCAGGGCTGTTCACTAGAGTTAGAATAGTTTGGAATTCAAAGAGAATTTCAAAATAGCTAGGATTAGGTCACAGCCTGGAGAGAGGGAGATTAGGCAACAGGTTTGGAGGGATTATGGAGATTAGGTGGTGAACTAGTCTGTCTAAATTAAAACATTTATTAGTGCCTGATTTCACCACTGGAAGTGGTTGACCCTGGTGGTCCAAAGTGTGAACATGTAAGTAAGCAATCTGTACATTCCCTGCTGAGCATAGGCGTGCACAGCCTATTGTATAAGGGTGTGCACCCTAAAGCAGAAACACACACGCCGCGTTTATATTTATATATATATATATTTATATATATATACACACACATACACACACACACACACACACACACATACTGCTGTGTGTAGGTGCTGTGTGTGAAGGCACTTGTGTGTGTGTGTAAGGGTGCTGTTAGTGTGTGCTGTGTGTGTGTGTATGTGTAAGGGTGCTGTTAGTGTGTGTGTAAGGGTGCTGTTAGTGTGTGCTTGTGGGTGAGGGTGCTGTTAGTGTGTGCTGTGTGTGTGTGAGGGTGCTGTGTGTAAGGCTGCTGTTAGTGTGTGTATGTGTAAGGGTGCTGTGTGTGTAAGGGTGATGTTAGTGTGTGCTGTGTGTGTGAGGGTGCTGTATGTAAGGGTGCTGTTGGTGTGTATGTGTAAGGGTGCTGTGTGTGTAAGGGTGCTGTTAGTGTGTGCTGTGTGTGTGTATGTGTGAGGGTGCGGTGTGTGTAAGGGTGTTGTTAGTGTGAGAGTGCTGTGTGTGTAAAGGTGTTGTTAGTGTGAGGGTGCTGTGTGTGCAAGGGTGTTGTTAGTGTGTGTGGGTGTTAGTGTAAGGGTGATGTATGTGTGTTTGTGTGTAATGTGTGGGGCGTGGGGGCCGTTTAGTTAATATCCCCCCCTCCCTTCATACCTTATGTAGGTAGGGGGGACCGTGCTGCTGCCATCCCTGGTGGTCCAGTGGAGAGTGAACTCTAGCCCCACAGGGGGCTAGAGTTCACTCTTGCGAAATCTGAGCCGCGGCAACGCTCCGGCCTCGCGAGAGAAACCCAGCGGAGCTGCTGACAAGATCTTCTCCTGCCTCCCTCCCTGCCTGTGGTTAGGTGAAGGAGATCTTTGATCTCCCTCACCTGCCTACGGAGGGAGGCACATAGCGTGTGCCGCGGGGATTAGGGTGTGCCTAAGCACACCTGGCACACCCCGTGCACACGCCTATGCTGCTGAGTTACATAGCTCTCTGAACTCTCTTCAACCTGGCAGAAGGAGTCACATGTGACATCATCGACACGTTTACTCTGGACTGCAAATTAACGCTGTGAGCAGTCTGGCACAAGGGGGTCAGTACAGACCATTCACTTCTTGTAAGGGGGGCAGTTAGGGGAGATCTTCTGGTCTCCTCAAATGGCCATGTCAGAAACATGCTGCTCATGTAAAGCTTGTGACCGTTTTTAGATAATTACTGAATCCTGTGTTTTTTTTACTCTATGCAGTCACAGTTGGTATGTCTCAGAAGTGCACTGACTGTTAGAGTAAATTTATGTGTTGGTGGCGATTGAAAGCCAGGGGAAGTGTGGCTGTGGCTGCAGAAATAGTCACTGAATTGCTAAACAGCAGATAATTGTGCAGTGAGACTGCATTGGTATGATCTATGCACCAAAACCATTTAATTAAAGGACCACTCTAGGCACCCAGACCACTTCAGCTTAATGAAGTGGTCTGGGTGCCTGGTCCTTCTAGGGTTAACCCATTTTTTCATAATTATAGCAGTTTCAGAGAAACTGCTATAATTATGAATGGGTTAAGCCTTCCCCCTAATCCTCTAGTGGCTGTCTCATTGACAGCCACTAGAGGCGCTTGCGTGCTTCTCACTGTGATTTCACAGTGAGAGCACGCCAGCGTCCATAGGAAAGCATTGTAAATGCTTTCCTATGAGACCGGCTGAATCTTGCGGCCTTGCTCGCGCGTGCGCATTCAACTAACGGAGGAGGAGAGAAGGAGGAGAGCTCTCCGCCCAGCGCTGGAAAAAGGTAAGTTTTTACCCCTTTCCCCCTTCCAGAGCCGGGCGGGAGGGGGACCATGAGGGTGGGGGCACCCTCAGGGCACTATAGTGCCAGGAAAACGAGTATGTTTTCCTGGCACTATAGTGGTCCTTTAAGCTGAAGGTGTTTTAGTGCTTAGATTGAACATTTAATAATGCACGCTGGGGAGAGATAAACAATCACTGTTTTACCAGTTCTTCTCCTGGCAACTCTGTAATGGAAGAAGGGAAGAATTTACTACAGTAACTGTTGCCCATGAGTATATGTAACTCTAATTTTGTGCAATCTAGGACATATGTGTTTCAATGGTACTCTACAATTAATAAAACCCTATCCCTAACCCCTTAAGGACCGGCCTGTTTTTGCGATGATGTACGTTAAAGGACCATTATAGTGCCAGGAAAACATACTCGTTTTCCTGGCACTATAGTGCCCTGAGGGTGCCCCCACCCTCAGGGTCCCCCTCCTGCCGGGCTCTGGAAAGGGGTTAAAACTTACCTTTTTCCAGCGCTGGGCGGGGAGCTCTCCTCCTCCGATCCATCCCTTGTCGGCTGAATGCGCACGCGCGGCAAGAGCTGCGCGTGCATTCAGCAGGTCGCATAGGAAAGCATTCATAATGCTTTCCTATGGAGACTTGCGTGCTCTCACTGTGATTTTCACAGTGAGAAGCACGCAAGCGCCTCTAGCGGCTGTCAATGAGACCGTTTCTCTGAAACTGCTATGTTTATAAAACAATGGGTTAACCCTAGAAGGACCTGGCACCCAGACCACTTCATTAAGCTGAAGTGGTCTGGGTGCCTAGAGTGGTCCTTTAAAGGACCACTATAGTGCCAGGAAAACATACTCGTTTTCCTGGAACTATAGTGCCCTGAGGGTGCCCCCACCCTCAGGGTCCAACTCCCGCCCGGCTCTGGAAGGGGGAAAGGGGTTAAAACTTACCTTTTTCCAGCGCTGGGCGGAGAGCTCTCTGCCTCCTCTCCGCCTCCGTTACGCCCCGCCGGCTGAATGCGCACGCACGGCAAGAGCTGCTTGTAGCGCATTCAGCCGGTCTCATAAAAGCATTCATAATGCTTTCCTATGGGCGCTAGCGTGCTCTCTCACTGTGAAAATCACAGTGAGAAGCATAGCGGCTGTCAATGAGACAGCCACTAGAGGATGGAAGGCTTAACCCATTCATAATTATAGCAGTTTCTCTGAAACTGCTATAATTATGAAAAAATGGGTTAACCCTAGAAGGACCTGGCACCCAGACCACTTCATTAAGCTGAAGTGGTCTGGGTGCCTAGAGCGGTCCTTTAAGGACCAGAGCGGTTTTAACACTTTTGTGGTGTTTGTGTTTAGCTGTAATGTTCCTCTCTCTCATTTACTGTTCCCATACAAGTTATATATTGTTTTTTTCAGGACAAGAAGGGCTTTCTTTACATACCATTATTTGTATCATGTCATATATTTTACTTTAAAAAAAATAATAAAATATGGTGAAAAATTGAAAAAAAAACAGGTTTTTGGACTTTTACTTGAAAAATCTTTTACTTATCTACAAAAGCTAATGAAAAAAACTGCTAAATAGATTCAAAATTTTGTCCTGAGTTTAAAAACTCCCAGTGTTTACATGCTTTTTGTTGTTGCAAGTTATATGGCTATAAATACAAGTAGGAAATTGCTGTTTCAGTATAGATATTTTTTTTTTATATTCTTTATTTTTGAAGTGCAGTGGAGACAGAGATAGCATAGCAGTGACATAGAGTTATATTGCATTATGAATGGTTACAAGCTTCAAGTATAAGCACAAGATGTCAGGAGTAACTGCACACATTTTTGGTTAAGGATGCAAAACAAGAATTAGTCGCAGTGCAAGCATATACAATCATGCTTTCTATACCATGTCAAGGTGGTCCAGCGTTGAACATCATTGAGCTAGGCTAGAGACATGGCTTGCTAGGAACTTGCATTGTTACAGGCTATAATAATAGGCTAGTGAAACCGTAGTTAAATACAGGCTATTGTTGCCACTGGGAGACCGGGCCTCGCTGCAGAGATTATTGGGGCACTTTCACAGATTATTACAAGGTAAAATATGTTTTAGTGAAGTGGTTAACAGAGGCCCAGCAGAGGCTGAATTATACTGATGGCACAACATTCTGCAAATATCTAGCTTTTGCAGCCCCACCGTTTTATAATACGAACAACATCAGGCCACAGTTCTATTCTGCCATATGGCTGGTGAGAGCAAAGGGTTTAAGGGCATAGCTGCTGCTTCGCCATGGGAGAGTAGGTGGTCTCCTCGGGGGTCCCTGCGGCCAGGCTCTGGGTCAGTTGGTGACAGTTTGTCATGGGCGCTGGGTCTAGCTTGTGTAGTCCCCAAAGCATGCGGGTTTAGTTCAGTGGGACACTTAGGCGGAACGTCCGCGGTTCTTTTAAGGCAGGCTGGGGAAGGTTGGCTGGCTTTACGGCAGAGGTGTATGGCACACGGTGGAGACCAGCCCCTGGTCTCGGTTGGACGGTCGGGTTTCTTGAAGTGTCGCCTGTCTTTTCCGCGGGGTGAGTTTATGGTCTTTGCTGTCAGGCTTGGGCTTGAAGGAAGGATACTCCCTTTTCTCCATCCTCAGCTCACATGGAATCCGCCATTTTGGGCCAGGTCGCCGATCAAGGTGGTTTCGTTGCTGGGCCTCAATTGCATGGCAGCGGTCCGGGTCCCAGGGCAAGGACCGGGATCACCCCCCCAGTCCAGAGGGGGGTGAGCAGGGCCATCGCCTCTCCGGGCTCCCAGGTCAGGCATCTTTAGGTGGGATAGTGGGGCAGCAGCCGTCCGCCCCACTCACCGCCGGAGTAGGCCCCATCTGGCGTGTTGAAGATTCATCCTCCAGGGGACTGAAGCTCTTGGAGCCAGCCTCTCCCTGGGTCCAGTGCCTCCTCTGGGTCATGGATCAGTGCTGTCGGTCGGCTTTTAGGTTAAGATTCATGGGTTTAGAAGCTTAAGTTGTGGAAATTTGCAGGAGCTGATCATGTTCGTGACCGTCCAGCTCGGCGGTCCGGCCCCGCCCCAATATATATTTTTTAAATATATCAATAGTGACATTGTAACATTATTATCTGTCATAAATCTCTGAATCACACTCCACATTTACATATTTTTTTAAAGTAGACAACCCAGGGTATTCAATATGGGGTATGTCCAGTCTTTTTTAGTAGCCACTTAGTCACAAACACTGGCCCAAGTTAGCATTTATATTTGCGTATTAAAAATGCAAAAACCGCTAACTTTGGCCAGTGTTTGTGACTAAGTGGCAACTAAAAAAGGCTGAACATACCCCATTTGCAATACCTTGGGTTGTCTTCTTTTGCAAATGGTATGCCATCATGGGGGTAATATTCATTCCTGGGCTACCATACGCTCTCAAAGGCAACATAACCAATCTGACAAATTTCATAAAAAAAAAAAAAAAGTAAAATCAAACCTTATATTTGACCCTGTAACTTTCAAAAACACTATAAAACCTCTACATGTGGGGTACTGTTATACTTGGGAGTATTCGCTGAACACAAATATTAGTGTTTCAGAACAGTAAAACGTATCACAGCAATAATATCATCAGTGAAAGTGACCTTTATGTGTGAAAAATTAAAAAAAGCCACTTTCACTGACAATATCAACGCTGTGATATGTTTTACTGTTTTGAAAGACTAATATTTGTGTACAGCGAAGTCTCCCGA